AGAAAGTTTTCCTTTTTTCCTCTCTAACTTCTTTGGCCTGTGTACTAATTAGATTGACATGAGACACAGTAACAGGAGAAAAGCAAATTTATTTTGTATGTATAGAAGCTCATAGAAATAGGAGACTCAAAGAAGTGACCAAAGCAGGCTGCTGATAGACCTTTGAGACAAAGAAACAAGTCTGTAAAGAATCATCAAGACATAGAAGTTTGAGCTTGGGGTAGCAAATTAGAAAAGAAGTAACAAGGTTTGTTTATACAGCCCTCTCAGCCTTGAATTCCCTATCTCTGATGATAAGGATGCCTCCTTTCCTCCTAGTACAAGTTGAGTACTATTCACATGGGAAATTTATCTCCTGCTAACAAGGGAACAAAGTACGGTCAGTGTCCTTGCATTGGTCATTTCCTATGTACCTTTAATTCAAAATCAATATGCCACAGTGGTATATTTTGGTGCAGCCTATGCTGAACGCCATCACCTGCATTAAGTCAGCATTGCAGCGATGGAGAAAAGGAGCAGGATTCCAGAGAGATCGCTGGAAGAATCAATAGGAGCTTGTGACTGAGTAGCTGTTGGGAATGAGGAAGAGGGAAGGGTCCGAGATGGCCTCCAGGCCCCCGGGGCAAGAAGGTAGCTGCCAAAGAGACTTCCAGAATTCCGGGGAAGAGATGACTCCAGGGATGTACTTCTCTGAGAATAGGAACAGATACCCCTAGAACCCCAACAGAAGGGCTGTAATTCTGCTTTCCCTCCTGTTAAAACACAAAACTCAACTGAGTAAACGTAAAGATCCAATTGGCTTTATTCAATGATTTGGGAACGGAGGAGCAGCCCATGTAGCAAGTAGAAAGGAGAACTGAGGAGCTGTACCAAATGGTAAGGGCAGAAAGGGGGTGGGACAGGGAAGTCATAAACAAAGGAAAGGAATATTTCAGGCAAGGCGAAGGGCAAAGGGAAGGGCAGGGATCAGTCACACAAATTACCTTATGAGTGTTGGTAGGATCATCCCAGATCGCCTGGGTAAAGTTCATAGTCCTGGGAGGGGCTGAAACTGCAATTTTGTCTTGGCCTGCTGTCTTGGGGGCAAGTAGCTCTGTGCTGTTCTAGCCCTCCTGGTAAAGGAGGTGGCCCTGTGCGAGGCAGCTCTGTCCTCCAGGGACCTCTCACGGTCTGCGTGCAGTGGCTCAGGAAACCAGGCTTTAGAAAAGGTTAGAAGGTCCATCCTTCTCGCTTGTGGATTTTAATTGCATATTTGGATTTCCAACAACGAGACCTACCATTGTCAGATCCCAGTATACCTCTTTCTGGAACAGCGTGACTTATGCACATTTGGGGTGTAAGGAACATTGTGTCAGTTAATTTTCTGTGAAAATAGTTCGTGTCTCCCGTTGGGATCTCAGGCTCTCTGTGTTCTCCCACGTAAAGACGGTGGCGGCAGGTGGGAGGCAGTGCCGTTCAGGCTGTTCTGGGGGTTCAGGTTTGGTAATGGGATCCGAGGACCCTGACTGCCGAGAGCTGTCTGCCCCCAAGTTTGGAGAAGGCAGGAGTGGGCTGAGGGCCTGGAAACCTGAGAACTAATTTTAGGTTTAGCAGCCACACTGGAGAATGTACCTTTAGGAAGCTGCAAGGCTGAAATGGTGTGAATATGATAGGGTTTAGATCATCCTGGAGACAGACAACCTGCTAGATTTGGATTAACTGGCTGGGTTTTTTTTTTTTTTTATTGGCGTTTCTCACTGAAATCAGTCTGAATCAGACAGATGCAGTAATGGCATATGGTGGCAAAGCGACAGACAGCAGGACGTGCATTTCAAGGTTTTGATCTGGGCTAGATTGCCTACCCCACCCCACTCCACCCCCACCCAAACTACCCTGAAACCTGCTAGACTCATTTGCTGAGATGACAAAGGGACATGCAGAAGCTTTCATAACTTATCAAGATGGGAAGACAAACACTTCACCACCTTGGACTGGTTAGAACTGTCTTTGCTTTTGTCTTTGTGATCTTACTTGTTCCCTTGGGTTCTTCAGCCCTTGCGTGGCTCAGGATGGGCGAACTTGCATTGCTGTTCTGCTACTTTGCCTCTTTTTAGGGTTCAAGCTCTTCCATTTGGAGCTCACTCGTGGGGAACTGAGTGCACAAAAGGTTTACGTAGAACTCAACAAATTGTCACACTCAATAACAAGGTTAAGAAAGAACAAGAGCAAACATTGAAAGAATGTTGTGTGTGTGTGTGTGTGTGTGTACACATGTGCACCCTTGCACATGCACGTAGGGTAAGGAAGACATGTTTGGTGGATATATTTGCCACAGGACAAGTGTCCAGGAGTGGCTTTCTCTCTGTTGATTATATTTTTAGTGAATTACTAATAACCAGGATTCGCAGAGAATAAAAGAACCAGTGAATATTTGGAAATCTCTTTTCTGTTTCCGTGCCCTGTAACCACAGTAACAAGGCTGCGTAGGGTTGTTTAAGAAAGCAAATTATGATTGAATTGTTAATAAATATTGCAGATGGCATAGAAGCGACTGCCACTGAGTAACCCAGTTTTCAGTGTGCAAATGAATAGGTCCTCAAATGTCCTTCTGGGCAAAACCCATTAAGCTCACTCTATATGGTCCCCTTAGCCATGAAGTTATTCATTCTTGACCTCACCAGAGGACGGACTATGCCATATCCGTATCAGGGAAGGGAGAGCCCTCTAGTGGAAAATCATCAGGGCCAACAGTACAGCAGGAAAGAGACAAGGAATCAAAGAAGGAATGTTAAATTTAGTCCCACGAGTTGCCCTGTGCATATAAACATGAGGTGACTTGCCATATCCTCCTGCTGATTTGGAAGATGTTTATCAAAAAATCTTGGCATGTGGAATTGTCAAGAATATATTGAGGCCTGTGCTAAGTAGGTACTCAAATCATTATTCCAAGGACTTTTGATGTTCTTCATAGCCCTCACCTAAAAAGTTTGGGATGGGCAAGGTCAGAGTGTAGGGGATGCATTTTGGTAACAAATTAAAAAATCAAGTTTAAATTAGATGAGATGATCCGGGGCACCTGGGTGGCTCAGTCAGTTGAACATCTGATTTCAACTTAGGTCATGATCTTGTGGTTCATGAGTTCAAGCCCCACATTGAGCTCACTGCCGTCAGCATGTCAGTGCAGAGCCTGCTTCAGATCCTCTGCCCTCTCTCTCCTCCCCACCCCCATGTGAGGTCTCCCAAAAATAAATATTTGGAAAAAAATTAGATACGATGACCCACCCACCCACCCACACCGGGATTATTAGCGATAAGGTTGGTTCATGGGTCCAGCTGCTTCTTTAAACAGCAGAACACACCATTCTAACCCTTGCCTTCCCCAAGGCTATTACCTGAGTTGAGCCGTAACTATCATTATAATTCACTGTGGTATTTATCTTGTAACTAGGAAGAAAGCTACAACACACTTTCTCTCCCTAATCTCTGAAAATAATACATGTCTGAGACTGCAGTGCTAGATTTTTGCAAAAATGTTCATACACTCTTGACTGGGTCATGACATTTCTCTTGGCCTTTTATTTTAGCCACTAACTACTTATAAATAAAATGAGAGGAAATGTTAAAAATCTCAAAACTTTGCAGTTTAAAATGATTTATGGATATTAATGGTTTATATAGATAGACTTTAAAAGCATGTTGTGTGAGAAATTCCCTGCTGTACATGTGCATTAATAATGCATACTAAAAACGTGTATTATGAGGGCTGGGGCCCCTTGCTCAGCTCTGTTATTGACTATCGTCCATGAGCCCTCGCCCCACAAGGGTTCAAAAAACCTGTTTCCGGGCAGCAAGAACCCACCTTTGAAGCTTATGTTCTTCAAAGCCCGCAGAAGATTCTTCACCAGGGCAGTGAGGCAGCCAGTGAAAATATGCCCTCAGCACGTTTTAGCTAAAACCACAATTGCCCTTGTTTCTAGTCTGTGACACTGGACAGTCTCTGACCATATAGTCAACAAAGGTGGATTGTCCTTTTCTGAACAGAAAATGGCTAGAGTGAGGATTTATAAATCCTGTGTCTACTTCGGGGACCATTTTAAGTTCTCTTATCTTCCTTGCAGCCTGATAAATATGGCCACTTCTGGACACTTGGTGGCCATCCTCTCTGTGGGACTTAACACCATATGTTTATGATGTAGGGGCTTAATTCCATGCATGTGTCCCCTGTCTCCTTGGCATGCCCACGTGCCCTTGGAAGCAAGGCCAGTGAACTCTACATCCTGGGTCTAGTTCCCTCGCTCATTCATTCATCTGGTAGTCACCGCGCCTACCTGTGGCCAGGTCCTGTTATACCTTCTCGGAAGTAATTTGTGAACAAAGCGAACAAGATCTTTTTCCTGACAGAGTCCTCTGGAGGTGGTGAGCCGTAAACTCGTAACCGCAAATGGAAATTTTCCACGAAGAAAGCCAAATACAAGTTTATGTAAGGTGATAGAAGTTAGCAGAGGAAAAGGGAATATGGTACCCTGAGAGAGAACACTGGGTAACCTTGTTTAGACAGGGGGGTCAGAAAAGGCCTCGGAAGTGGTGATATTTATGCTGAAAACCAAAGACACATGGTATCCCCCGAAAAGCAAGAGCTAAGAAGTATTTGTGGCTTTGAGAAACGTTTCACTAGGTCTCGGCTCACATAGTATGAACCTTCTAACTGTGTTTCCTACGGGCTCTATCTCCCAGCACTACTCAACCCCTCCCTTCATTTGCCACCAACCTACAATATGTTCTTTCGAGTGCTCCCTGGCTCTGCAAGCCCATGGAGACCCCAGCCATATCAGCTCGCACTAAAATGGGAGTGTTAAAAAAACAAGATTCAGTGGAGTAAATGTCAAAGATCTTATTTTATTCAGTGATTCATGAATCGGGCAGCATCCCATCCAGCAGAGAAAAAAGAGCCCCAAGAAGCTGTATACATTGAAAGACTTTTACAGGCAGAAAGGAGTGGACACAGGAAGTTATCCTGGCAAATGGTGGACTGTGTGATTATATGCTGTTATAATCAAATCCCTCTGATTCCCTTACAGGTAGGTACAGACACTCCCAGCTTGAGAAAGGCAGACCCCAAAGGTCGGAGCGCACTGTTGGCTGATATCCAGCAAGGAACTCGCCTGCGGAAAGTCACGCAGATCAATGACCGCAGCGCCCCACAAATTGAGAGTAAGTGGGCCACCGGGCCAGGCCTGCTGGGAGGCTAGGGCAGGCGCTGGGAGGCTTGCTCAGGGCAGATACCCAGGACCCACTTTGGGCCACATGGCAGACTTGCTCAATGTATGAGCCTCGGGGGTTCCTTTCCAGGTCTGCAGATGGTGTATAGTGTATCTTCTACCCTGCTCAAAAGCTAAGCAAACAAAAACATGGTGGGATAGCTTCTTTTTAATTGTGATAAAATACACCTACTATAAAATGACATAAATATAAAGTTCGCCATTTTAACCGCCAAAGCATCCAATCCCGTGCCATTTATACTTGCACAATGTGGTTGCAGCCATCACCCCCGGCTAGTTTCAGAGCCTTCTCGTCACCCCAGAAGGAAACCCCATACCCATTAGCAGTCACTCTAATTCCGCCCCTTTCCCCCATCCTTGACAGCTACTTTCTGTCTATGGGGATTTGCCTCTTTGGGATATTCGTATAAATGGAATCGTACAATATGTGGCCTTTTGTGACTGGCTCCGTCATTTAGCACACTGTCCTCACAGTTCACCCATACGAAAGCATGTGCCAGCTCTTTACCGTTGACTCGTATTCCATTGTCTGGCTGTTTCACTTTGTGTTTATCCACCGTGAGATAACTTCTAAAGATCACCTGCCGTGTGCATGTCCTCCAACTCAATGAGAAAAAAATTAAAGTCTCAACATTAAAATATGCCAAGTTTTTGTTTTCACGAGGAAAAAGACATACTCAGAATTCTCTCATAGGGTCAGATGACTGCACCTTCCTATGTATAGAGTATAGATGACCCAGGCTGAGTCCTGATTCTGCTACCGGACAAATCTGGGGTTTTCTCTGAGGTTCCATCTGCTTATCGACAAGATGGGGGAGATAAAAAAAAATACCTGCTTTTTTTTTTTGTCAGGATTGCTGAAGGTTGAAATAATATATGCAGAACTGTTTATCAATGTCATCTCTTAGGTGTTCATATAGTTTTCAATGATGCACATGATGGTAATTCTCAAGGATAGTCCTAACAGTATAATCGTATCTAGTATCTGTAGCTATATATGTTAGTACACAAGGATACACAAATTCTTTTAAGAAGTATTTTCAATAGTTGCAATAAAAATTAGTTTCTAGTTAGACCCACTATCTGATTGGTTAAGCCCAATGACCAGAGAAATCCATTTGATTGGAACACTCACTTCCTAATCATTCCAATGAATAGCTAAATGTATATTAAGACTCGGAATAATCTAAACCCATCCATCCACCAGTGGGCACTGTGCCCTTTTTCTCTGTGCAAGTTAGCCGCAGGCTGTGAACATTTCTTGCTAGGAATCCTTACCCAAGCTGAATGTCTTCTCATCGTACGTAGTTGGTTATCACACACATCTGGAAGGCTGGAATTAGTGACCCCTGTCCCCCAGGGTTTCACGAGCTTTCTCAACTGTAGAAGAAAAGATTCAGGGAAGGGTAGGGGGCTCTCACTCCCTGAGAGCCAGGGAGACAGAGAAAGCAAATGCCAAAGCACAAATCATTGCAGACCTTCACTTCCTGCTTGCCGTACCGAGCCAGACTCTGTGGACAAAAAGTTAAAATTACCAACTGAACTAAATCTGTGGGTTTTCTCTGTCTGGTCCTCCCACAACAACCGTGGAGTTGAAAATAGGGCCAGCGCCACACCTGCAGGGTGTGAGCGTTCTCATTTGGAAGGTGCCACCCATTCCCCTGCCCGGCATCTATGGAATGGCAGCGTTTAGGACCCTTGGTTTTGGCCACTTTTCAGGGCGCTCAGCTGCTGACGGTCAGTTATTTGGTGGGTCAGAGGGAGCAGCAGACAACATGGATGCAGGAGTCTGCACAACATCTAGGCAGAGGGGTTTGGGAAAGATGCCCGCTAGAGGTGGGAGAACGGGAAGGCTGCCCCAGGCAGTGCTGGCCCACAGCCCCGGGGTGAGAACTGGCGGCTCAGCTCTGCTCACACTTCCTCATCCACCTGCCTCTTCTCTGCAAAGGTTCTAAGGGAACCAGCAAAGAAGGAGGAGGCTCTGCAAACGCCCGAGGTGGAAGCACACCCCCAGCCCTGGGAGGTCTGTTTGCTGGCGGCTTTCCTGTGTTGCGTCCAGCAGGCCAGAGGGATGCAGCAGGTAAGGAACAATTCAGGCCGGCTACCTCGTGGTCTTTCTCTCCTTAGCATGTAGAATCAAAAGGGCGATTTTCGCGTGCCATGAGGGTTGCGACGTGTGTTTAGTGAAAAGTCGTAGAGCAGGAGATCGTGGATTTGGGAGCATGTACTGGAAGTATCCAAAGCATTATGCTCAAGGGATCTTGGAAACCATCATCCTATTTAAATCATCCCGTTGTAATAATCAAAGAATGATTTGCCATAGTGTGTAGGCTTAGCCATGCTGTGATTGAGGCTCAGACTGCAAAGTATAGATGAAGGGTGTAAATCGCATTAGAAAATCATGGTGACATCCCTGTGATGTGAGTTGTTGTATCAGGTAGGTGTTGCTGTGTAATGAAATAGCCTAACACTTAGGGCCTTTAAACAACCACTTATTTAGCTTATAGTTCGTGGTTGACTATTTAGGGTGGTCTCAGCTGGGCCCTGTCTAGTATCTACAGCTTGGGTAACTGGCTTTGGATAATCTTATATTTCTCGTATCATTGGTGCCTCAGCTGAGATGGCAGACCTGACTGATCCACACAGTTCTCAGTATGTAGCAGACAGTTTGGGAGTTTGTGCATGTTGGTGGGAAGGCTCCAACAAAGAGGACGGAAGTAAATAAAGTCTCTTAAGACTTAGTCTTGGAATTGGCACGATATCACTTCCTACCACATCCTCTTGCCCAAAGCAAGCCACAGGGCCGGCCCGGAAACAAGGGTGGAGAAAGAGACTTCACCTCTTGATGAGAGGATCTGCAAATCAGGAATCAAGAAGGAGTGGATAATCAAGGCCATTTCTGTACCCAGTCTACTGCAGTCGTTTGTGTGTTAGTGGGTATCAGATGTTTGAAAGCATTGCCTTAAAATTGGGCAAATATATATTTATTGTGTGTAATGGAAATATTTTCCTATTATTGTTCTCTTTAGCCAGCAAGCTGAAATAAATTCCAAGAATTTGGGGCTATCAAGCCCCAAACATTGCTGGTATAGAATCTTCTGCCATGTGGCTCTGTAGCTGTTTGACATAATGAGGTACATTTGCTGCTGTCACCAGCTGATAAAGTCCAGCAAAGATAAGGGCACTAGGATGCTTTGAGATCCAATTTGAACCTTCTCAGAGGCCATTTCATTTCCTCTCTTTTGCTAAGGGCTTGGCAAAGAGAGTTGGCATTTCTCAGGGCCGCCTTCTTTTTCAAAATTCCTGAGTGGCATCAAATAAACATCCTGTAAGATATACAATGTCCACTAGTTTGTCTTCACAGAAGTAAAGATAGGAGAAATATCCAGTCGGTTTTAACAGGGACCAGCCAAAGGAAGCCAGGCTGTCCCCATTCCTACCTGTGTCCAGTAGGACACAAGTGTCTGGTGTTTGAGCCACTCTGTGAAGACAAGGATTCATTTCTGTAGAGGGGATGGAAATCCATAATGAAGTGACCGATGATGGTCATAATGAAGTGATGAGGATGGAGGCTCAAAGACAAGAGACAATAAATAGATGAGATGCATGGACTGGATGCCATGTCAGAGTAAGACCCAGCATGGCTCTGTTTTCTCAGAATGCTTCCGTCAGCTTCCCGGTCATTCAGAGAGAAGGGCTTTGGCCTTTGCTACCTCTCTCATGTTCTTGCCTACACGCGTGCTAGCATGCACCCCCCATTCCAGCCACATTGGCCTCCTGACTGTTCTTGCACACACCAGGCATGTTGCTGCCATAGGGCCCTTGCACTGACTGCTCTCTTGACCGGAAACACTTCCTCAGGTGTCCACATGGCTCATGTTCTCCCTTCCTTCAGGTCTCTGCTCAACTGGCACCTGATCGAGCTCTCAGTGAGGCTTTATTCATCAACCCCCATACAATATCAGTCCCACCCCCTTACTCCATATCCCCTCTACCTTGATTTCATTTTCTGGTATTACTTTTCACCATCTGATATATTATATATTTCCTGGGGAGCTCACGTCTGTCTTCTCCCTCTAAATGTAAACTCTGTGAAGGCAGGAACTATGTTTCTTTTCACTGCCTTAAAAGTGCCTGATGGATGGTAGGTATTCAGTAAATATTGGTTGAGTGGAATGTATAAGTAGGTAGCATGGTTGCATAGAGCCATTAGACCCAGAAAGCACAGAGCCTAGTGCTCATGGCACTTTGGGGAGTCCATGAAAATGTTTGGATTTCTTTTAAAATCACCTTTAGGGTCAAAGATTCTATTTGCCTTTATAGCAACACATCCATAAAATGTCTTTAAAAGTCATAACGGGGCCCTGGCTTAGCGCTCTGAAGGAGTGGCCGTTAAAATAAGATAGGATGAATAAACACTGCTGGGTACTATGGAATGTGTAATGAGACTTCCATGCAGTCCGAGATCTTCTGGAAACATACACAGACTGAAGGCAGAAGACATATGTCACCTTTTGGTAACCCATAGGCTCTTGATGCACTCAGGCTGGCCTTTCCCCACCCACTTTGTGGTTTCCTTTTGTGTTTCTGTTTGGATTCCTAGGGTTAGCATTTATATTATGTATATATAAATATACAAACTCCTCGCTCCTTCCCTTGGCACTTGTTCCCCTTGGCTCTCTCCACGGACCCCGTGCTACCTGGCTTTCCAGTCTGCACTCATGCTAATTCCTCTCTCCTGTGGGCCTCACCTTGAACGTGTGCTGCCAGCTGTCTGCTTCATCCTAGGGTGAGCCTGAACATTAGCCAAACGAGGATTTGGGCCCTCTTTGCCTCTGCTGTTCGTGTCATAATAAAAATAGGTTTGCCCACGTCTCGATTGCCTGGCTGCTTAGTAAGCAAGGCAAACCTGCGTTTCACTGACTCATCCTGAGGGTTTTTGAATCTTGGGGACATGGTGTCCTTCCTTAGTCACTTAGAAAGTCAGGATGGGTTACTCAGGGGCTGAATCTGCTCCTCCTGAAACATATTATTCCTTTAAAGTTCAGGGAGCAAGTGGGCATATAGGGAAGCCTCGGCTTAGTCAGCGAACTGCCTTGGTCCTCCGTCTTCAACTCTATGCGCTGTGGAAACAGGCTTAGACCTTAGAGGCAGGAATCTCTGAGCCCAATACTTGCCTTAGACCTCACATAAAATGTCTAATGTTAGAATTGCAGGTGGTGGGAGCTCCTATCCTTGGAAAGGCCAGGTGGAGGCCTTCACTCCTGGCCACGGTCAGCTAGCTGTTACGGCGGTGCTTGCCTTGGGCCCCGAGGGGATCAAGTCAGCCAGCGTGGGTGCCTCAGGGTGAAGACATTATCTCTTCCAGAACCATCCCACAGGAAACCCTCAGCAGAGGAATAATGGGGCCACCACCCTAGAGCAGCCATTCCATAGCTGAGACTTATAAAGAGCAGTGCTACCCAGGGAACTGTCACATCATAGCCAGAGGAGGGTCACCATCCTTTTGAAAAGCCAGATACTGTCATCCTGCCCGCCGAGCTTCAGCCCCAGCATCACGACCACCACTCCTTGCTTTGATCAGCCTGGCTTTTGGTATCAAGTACTTTGGGGTACCATCCTGCACCTGGGTGGCCACGCACCCCTGGAGACTCATCAGCAGAAAAGCTCAGAACCGCTACCCGATGCAGGGCGGGTACAATCTGATTCGAAAGCCATGCTTCCTATTCTGCAACATCCAAGAAGCTGTAGGTCTGAGAAGCGACCATCTCTTCAAGCATTCTCCACGTGTTTTCATGAGGGTTATAAATCATAAGGGTGCAAGAAGAGGAAAAGATGGCTTCCCTAGAATTCCATTAGGGAGAGCACTGTATTAACCTAGAAGTATTTCATTTTATTTTATTTTATTTAAAAACATTTTTTAAATGTTTTATTTATTTCTGAGAGAGAGAAACCGCGTGAGCAGGGGAGGGTCAGAGAGAGAGGAAGACACAGAATCTGAAACAGGCTCCAGGCTCTGAGCTAGCTGTCAGCACACAGCCCGACGTGGGGCTCGAACCCACCAAGTCGAAGTCAGATGCTCAACCGACTGAGCCACCCAGGTGCCCCTAGAAGAAGTATTCTAATATGCCTCCTGAGTGGAGAGTGATGCTTCAAGGACACCTTTAAGCGGTGACTGCAGAATTTCCTTGCAGTAAACAGGGAGAGGAGCATATTTCTCCTAGGTAAGGGATAAAAAGGTAGGAAAGCACAGTGAAAGGGCATGCAAAGTGCAAGGCCCTTCCTAGGGAGCACCTCCACCCCAGTCTTCCGTGAAGTGCCTCAAACACATATTACTGTGAGCAGTACTGTGCTTGCTTCTCCAGATGTGTTGACTTCCAAAGAGGCATTGGGTTTCAAGTTGGAGGTTCATGGGCCTGTGGGGTAAGGAGGCCAGGAAACTAGGAGACAAAGAGCCCATTGGAAATGGACATGTCTTTGGGAAAAGAGGCTTTGAAATTCCAGAGCTATGGGACCGGAAGGCTTGAGGTCATCGGACTCGGATCCCCTAGGCAGTGTGTCTTTCCACTGACTCGTGAGTTACTTATATATTCAAGGAATGACTAATCTTCTGGTCTTGATGCAAAAACAAAGTCCGTGTTCACAAAATGCTGAAACTGAAGAAAACCTCCCTAGCAAGGAGCTTCTGGTTGGCACAGCTGAGGAGCGGAACTAAGATGTCAAGGCTGGGTATCCAACTGGATTGACCCAGTTGGTAATGGTGAATGAGTGTGAAGGTGGCCTTGAGGTGAGGAAGGGCAAAGAAGGTCAGAGCAGCCCTGTGCCCTGGGCTGGGAGACTCGCCAGCCCCTGGCAGGTGAGAGCAGAGGCGGGCTGGAACAGGAAGGCTGGTGCTGGCAAGGATCTTGGGGCGGGTCCAGCTGGCCCTTTCGTGTGACAGCTGCCGCACCTGAGGTTTCTACGTGAGCAGGAAGAGAGTCCACTGTTTGGCTCGCTGACATCGCGCTGGACAGTGTCTGTCATAGCTGCCCCCATACTTGGGTTCCTCCTTCCTCTGTGGCTGAGCTAACTCAGAACTTGTTTACTTCCAGGTGGCAAGACAGGGCAGGCCCCTGGCTCCCGGGCGCCTTCTCCCCGGCTTCCTATCAAAACTATCAGTGGCCCACTTAACCCCCCTGCATCTCCCAGGCTAGGCAATGCTTCTGAGGCCCACGGCGGTGCTGTCAGGGCAGTCCCTCCTCGCCCCAGCATGCCCGCCCCACCGCCGCCTACCCCACCCCCACCTCCTCCACCCCTGCCCCCACCCCTGCCCCCTTCCTCCCCCACCAAAGCTCCGCTGGTGTCCCCACCTGGCCCACCCACCAAAGGGAACCTCCCAGTGGTTGCACCCCCTCTCCCCTCTGTCCCTCCCCCTCCGCCCCCTCCCCCAACTCCACCCCCGCTCCCCCTGGGCTCCCTTCTCAGTGACAAGGCAGCAAAGCCTCAGCTAACCCCCTTGCATCTACCACCCATCCCCCCTCCACTCCCTCTCCTCCCACCTTGTGGGTATCCGGGGCTCAATGCAGAGGCCACAAGCCCTGCCCAAGATGTGCGGGAGCCTCCCGCCCCACCACCCCCACCGCCCCCACCCCCTCTTTATGCCTCCTGTACCCCGAGGTCCTCTGTGCCTGCGCCTCCTCTGCCAGGAGCTAACAACAGCAGTGAAGCCCCACCCCCGCTGCCCCCCAAGTCTCCCAGCTTCCAGGCCCAGCCACCCAAGTCCAGCGTTCAAGCCTTGCCTACACCGCCAGCCCCTCCGGGATCCCAGATGTTCATGCAGAAGAAGAGGCCAGGCCGGGGCCCAGGTAAGCACCACTGTCTCAGTCCAGGGCGGCCATATTGGAGGCCCCCTCAGCCCTGCCAGTAATTACCGAGATGCTAGGGACGCAGCCGGAGGCCTGCTCCTATGAGCCACTTGGGGACACCTTGAGATGTCTTAACTCTTAGGATTTTGTTTTAGAACCGAGCTATCCGTGCCCCTCGTGGAGCAGGATAAAATGTGCTGTATGGGACTTTGTGTTGTATTCATGTTAGAGAAGGAAACCAAGGGGAGAGAGGTTGAAAGACGTATCCAAGATGGTGCGGACCACACTAGCCAGGTATCCTGGCCTTAATCACCTTGCAATTACTAGCTGTGTGACCCTGGACAATTACTTAGCCTCTCTGTGCTTTCTTCTCCTCATCTGTAAAATGAGGATAGTAATAGTTCCCACCTCGTGTGATCGTTGGATCAGGGCCTGGCAACACTGAGCTCTAGAGAAGGGCTATTTATTCTTACTCTCGTCACTCATACACCCAAATCTCCTCTCTGCGGTGGAGGGCGCTGTGGAGGCAGTTTGTTTCCAGAACCAGGTCTCTGCTGCAGTTTCTGCCTGAGTTACTACAGGCTGGCCCCCAGCCACAATCTGCACTGGCCCCCTGCAGACTGGATTAGCATTCTGCCTTCTTTCTGGCAGGTTCTCGTGCTGACTCAAGAAAACTAAAGGTCTGCCTTTCGAGCCAAATATTAAAAGTAATTCTGTCATATACATAGCAGAGAGGATGTTGGATTGAGTGTGCGTGCCCCTAACTGATTTCCTCATAGTGAGGAGGCTTCATTCACTTCTGGTGTCCTCTGGATGGAAAGAATACCCACGTGTCCACACACATACACACATGCTCATAAACACCATTCACACACTCACCCCAACACACATCCACACTCACACACACAATATTCCTGTGTCTTTAAGAAACTCTTTTGATGCAGAAGGTTTCTTAAATGTATTTCCTTGAATTAAAAATAATACAAGCTCACTGTAGAGCAAATAGAAAGCAATTGAAATCACCAAAATAACATCACCCAGAAATAAAAACTGTCCTACTTGGGTGTGCTTCCCGTCATTTTTTTTTTCAGGCTATATCTACATATTTACAAAGTTTGAATATACAATTCAAACATTTCTATTCTCTTTCTATTTAATCTTACATCGAAAGCAGTCTTGCCAAGTTGTGAAAGTTTATTCAGAAGCGTACTGATGTGAAGCGTACTGGTACCAGACTTCTAGTATGAAGTTGATTCCATTTTTTGTTATCGTAAATAATGTTGCAGGAAATACTTCCATAGCAATTGTCACCTACCTTTTGTATATTTTGAAAAGACAGGTTCCGAACAAGGAATTCCTGATACAAAGGGCAAGAATATATTTTTTTAAGTTAATATATTTATTTTGGTTGGTGGAGGGGCAGAGAAACCTAAGCTCGACCTCTCAGAACCATGAGATCATGACCTGAGCCGAAACCAAGAGTTGGACGCTTAACCCACTGAGCCGCCCTGGAGCCCCAGGGCAAGTGTAAGTTCAAGGTTCTTGCTCATGAGAGATAAGGTTTGAGGCATTCTGTTTTCAACCGAGTAGTTGCCATATGGCCGGCATCCCTACCAATGAGCATCCTATGATTGGTCCAGGGAGTGGTGAAAAAAAACAAGGCCTTAGATTCAGAGACATCTGAATTCAACCTGGCCTCCCCATCCACTCCCCCCATTCACTCCTGTGTCACCTCATGCCAGTTTTTTAGATGTTTTGAATCTTGCTTTTGGGGGGAGGTGGGGAAGTAACACCTTTTATGGAGGATCCTTAGGGATATTCAGTGAGAGAATGTGCCTGCAGTGCACTGCACAGAGCAGGGGCTCACTGTTATCTCCTTACCATGGGGAGGGACAGCTTGTCCTCCAGAAGGGGAGTCAGCAGCCACTGTAGCCCCTTCACCCCTTTAGTCTGCTTATGGGAGCCAGGAGATCCTAGTGGGTCCTGATTCAGAGAAAAGGAAGACTGGGGTGGTAAACTCAAGGCCAGGAGTAGATGCTTGTCTGGCCTGTCTCCTTATGTCTTTGGAGGTGAAACTTAGTTTTCCACAAACAAAATGAGGGCAATTTCTACCTCAGGCCAACTGGGTGGGGGGCGGGTAGAGAAAGAGGTTGCAATCATGGACATTTTGTCACAGATAATGGTGGTGTGGTGGTCATCGTTTCAGCAGGTGAAGGTAGAACACCCTCACTGACGTGCTGAGACAGCTGCTTCTTAATTGCCAAAGAGTCACTCAAAAGAGTATGGCAAGGGAGAGTGAGCCTCCCACAGACACCATCAGGGCGAGTTTGGTGATGGAGGTGGGACTTGAGTTGCGCCCTGGTGGGCGGGGTGGATTTAGATATTGACTAGAAGGAAAAAGAGGGTCTGCCGTGCAGGGGAATCCTTGTGAGCAGAATCCTGGGGGGGGTGGGTAGGAGCAAGCTCCGTCAGGGTGCTCGTCCCGCCTGCTACTGTGCCTCACCCACAGACAGTCCCTCCCTTCCTTCGGACTCTGCAGTGGTTCCCCTTCTTTGAAAAGTGCCGTCTGATACTGAAGGTTGTTGCCACCGTTAATATTGTCACAGCTGCTAACATTTATTGGGCCCTTACTACACGCCACTTGACTTCACTCATTCAACCCTCTCAACAACCCTAGAAAGAGAGTGTACTATTATCTCATTTCATAGCTGAGGAAACTGGGGCACAAGTACGCTGTGTCATTATCCCAGAAAGAGAACTGGAATTCGGTCCCAGGCAGTTTGGCTCCAGAGGCTGCCTTTTCATCCGCTGTAGCATGCTACATCCAGAGATCTCAGTGCCTCACCTCTCACAGGAAGCTATAGCCTCTGCCATACTTGTCTCTCAATACACTGGCATGTTTCCTCTAAGGGACCAGTGGGGGGAAGCTAAATCCACCCCCAGCACCGCCTGCGAGATCACCCACCACGGAGCTTTCAAGCAGGAGCCAGCAGGCCCCAGCCTGGACCCCGACACAGCAGCCAGGAGGTCAGCTGCGCAACGGAAGCCTGCATATCATCGGTAAGTGGGCCCACCTCTGCCATGTCGGCTGCGGGTGAGGAAGCGACTTCCCTGGGCCCTGGGGAGAGTCTGCCAGCCCACCATTTCAGGGTGCGTGCTTCAGGGTGCATGCAGGAGCTCACTCCCACACACGACAACCTGCAAGTTGTGTGAATGAGGGTTCCTCTTGAGGCTTTCTGGGGGGTTCCAGAACCTATTCTCGAACCATCGAACTGAGATGAGGAAGAGGGAAGAAAACCAACATTTAAACTGTGTGTCTGTCTGTCTCCACGGGGAAATCCATGCACATTGGATTAGAAAAGAATAGAGTTATCTGGAAAAGGTGAGAAAATAATAGAAGGCCCACTAGCCAGAGAGACAGGTAGGGCGCAAATACAGACACAGGAAGGAAAGGTCTCTGGGGTCAGACACAAAGCCTAGATCACAAAGCAGGGACTGAAGTCATGAAGGGGCCACATAACCTCTTCTCTTGCAGTCGGGAACTCAGGGAAAATATGTTTGTTCTGGGGAGCCTGCGACCCCGACTTGACACGGGCCACACTCCTTCCCACCAGCCAGGCTGCAGACTCCTATTCTGCTCCCCGCTCCCAAACACAAGCCTTCCCAGGGGCTCAGGAGTAGCTTCAGGCCACAGGGACTCTGCTGGTGCCTTGTTGTTGTCACCTTCCCCACCTCTGACTCTGGACCCTGGAGAGCCCTGTGGCACTTCTCCCTTTAGAAACTTCCTTCAGATGTTGGTCAAAGCAAACGGGGGTGGGTGATCAGGGAGAGTCTGTCGGCTTCATTTTTCCTGATTCCCCTTGTCTGAGCCAAACAGCAAACACTGAGAGGTAGATGGGTCCCTTAGGGGGTAATAGCCCAGCCCCTAAAACCCTTGCCCAGAGCCGGCAAACCTGTGTGCTCTTGGGACTTTTCAAAACTTGGGTCACCACAACAACCAGAGTTAATTTTGCTCTTTTCCATGTGTGCAGATGACTTTGAATCTAAATTCACGTTTCATACTGTGGAAGATTTTCCTCCTCCAGATGAGTATAAACCATGCCAGAAGATTTACCCCAGCAAGATTCCCAGAAGTAAGTACCACCTTGGGAAGTGGTTTCTACCCAGAATTAAGTGCTTAGTGCGATTGATTGTCTACAGGCTGACACTATGATTTCACTACTGCAAGGATACAGTGCCATCCATGCTTCTGGAAGTGTCAGAGCATTCCCTGGCCCCAAAGCTTTTTACAAAACTCCAGCAATGATTGTTTGACTTTGGATTTGAGTGCCCGGATTTACCACTTGTCCCTCCCCTCCTTAGGCCTTTGGACAAGGAAGCTGAACACCTCAAGACAACAGCAAAATGGGACACGGGAGCTTTGTACTAATAACTAGGGAAGATTCTTAAAAACCCCAATTCAGAACTCTAGCAGACTGTGAAATGGAGAATGCCCTTAGATCAATGATTCTCAACCTTGAAGACACATTAAAACAACCTTTAAAAATCCCAATGGCCAGGCGGCACCCACACCAACTAAATCATAATATGCAGGGTGGGACCCAGGTGTCAGTATTTTTGAAAGCTGCCGGGTGATTCCAATGTCCAGCCAAGGCTGAAAGATCTCAGCCTGAGGAGAACCTGCCTGTTCCCAATGTCATCGTGGGGACAGCCTCCAAGGAGAAGCCTTCACTCTGCTTACCTAGTTAGCCCTTAGAGTGGAAGAGAAAGAGTCTGGCCTGCCCCTCAGGGCCAAAAGGGCAGGGAGGCGAGTACTTTAGGAGAACAGGAAGCAAAGAAAAGCAAGATGGCGTTTAAACCACACAGTGATTCTGCCTGTCAGTTCATATGAGCCAGTCCCGGTCCAGGGCTGAGCTAATCCGATTGGGCAGGAGCTGGTAAGGGGACAGAGTCAGCAACATGGGGTAAGGGTCATGTGAGCAAGGCCCCCACAACGTAAGGCCTCCAATCCCAGACATCTGTAGACTAGCCTGGAAAATTGTCAGTGTCCTGGGTTAGCCCAAGACCATCAACTGGGCTCTTTGACCCTTTCCTTCAGAGGAAATTTGGCAGAAGCCCTTCTCCAGGGTTCATCTCCCTTCAGGCAGACCAGGGAGCTCAAGCCTGCTCCCTGCTCAGGTCGCAGGTGCCCTTGGAATCGACCTGGGCAAGTCTTCTCTGCTGGCCTGTGGGATTGCACCATTAGACACTAGTGGCCTTGTGTGCTTGTTAAATAATACATAAAGACTGCTGCTCTGAACTTAAAGAGAAAGAGGGGGAGAGGAGCAGGGTAGGATGGAGGGCCAAAGATGAAGTCAGTATTGTCAGCACCGCTAATCTACAAGGCTCATTTCCTTTCCCTAAGCAAGGCTCTGCTCACTGGCCACCTTCATGCCACAAAACCCACCCTTCTCTTATACCCAGACTGTAACACGTGAATGTGACACCTGGCCCCTGCTCTAAACCGAGGTCAGCAAACATTTTCTCTGAAGGGCCAGAAATGACATATTTGAGGCTCTGAGGCCATATGTTCTTGGTCACAACTACTTGGTTCTGCTATTTTGACCTAAAAAGAGCCATGGACCATATATAAATGAATGGGCATAGCTGTCTTCCAATAAAACTTTATTTACAAGAGCAGGTGCTGGCTGGCTGTGGTCCGCCGGCCATATTTTGCTTATCTCTGCCCTAAACTGTTCCAGAAAAGCAGATCCCTCAAAGTCTCCTCTTATACTGCCTTTCTCAGTAGACTGCTGTGCAGTCCTTCAACCTTCACACTCAGTCAGTTCTAAAGCAAGCTGTACATTGAGCCCACGGTGCCCAGTCTCCTCCCTGAGAATGGAAGAGAAACCGTGCCTCACACGGCTCGCCAGGAGGGCACAGCGGGCAGTCTGCCCTGCATTCCTCTTATCTCAGAGAAGTGGCCAAATCAGTCCCCACACACAAAAAAATAATCTGATGCTCAAGAATATGCAGTTAAAAAAAAAAAAAAAAGGAAAAGAAAGTGAGCCAACATCCTACAGACCAGAAAGGGTATCTGCAATTTCAAAAATAAAGTATGGTTTTAGATTGACGTGACATTGACAGGCATAAACTATCCCAGTGGCTTCCTTGTGCAATTAAATTTGCATGTTCCTGCCATGCTTGTGAGCCACGGGATAGAAGCTTGTTAATTCTATTAGCGTGAGTCTGATACAGTTCATGGCTGTCTGATTACATTTCTCCTTACAGCTTTCTTCCTTCTCTCCACTGAACTGATTCCCCAAGTTAGAGTTCTTCATGTCTGGGGGACAGTGTTGGTTCTGTTTCACGCTTTTTTGTAGCAATTCCGGCTATGCCTCCTTCCATTGGCTTGCTTTCTCGCTCTGCTCCTGACACACACACACAGCACACGAATCCCCTAATGCTTAGCTTTTCCACCTGCTCTCCTCACGGTCTCCACTCCGCAGCTACTAGCTGTTTTCTTTCTTTGGTAGGATGATTTTACCTAGTTTTTCAATGGTTTAAAAATGCATTAGTGAGCGTCTGGGTGGCTCAGTTAAACGCCTGACTCTTGGTTTTGGTTCAGGTCATGATCTTGTGATTTATGAGTTCGAGCCCCACACTAGGCTCCATGCTGATAGGGTGGAGCCTGCTTGGGATTCTCTCTCTCTCTCTCTCTTTCTCTCTCTCTCAAAAGAAATAAATACTCAAAAAATTTTTCTTAATTCATTAGGTTCCTCAATAAGTTAATCATATAATTACCATATGACCCAGCAATTCCATTCCTGGGTATACATTGAAAAGAACTGAAAATGGGTTCAAACAAGAGTGCATACACACATATTCACAGCAGCACTATTCGCAAAAAGTGCAAAAAGATAGAAACATCCCACTGTCCATCAGCTGATGAACGGGTACACAAAACATATAGCCATACAATGGAATACTATCCAATACATGCCACAACATGGATGAACCTTGAAAACATCATGATGAGGGAAAGAAGCCAGACATGAAAGGCCACATATTGTATGATTCCATTTGTGTGACATACCCAGACAGGCAAATCCTTAGAGACAGAAAGTAGGTTGGGGTGCCTGGGTAGCTCAGTCAGTTAAGTGTCCCACTTCGGCTCAAGTCATGATCTCATGAACTCCTTTCATCCTGCAAAACTGAAGCTCCGTACCCAGTCAACCCAGTAAAATGACAACCACCATTCTACCTTCCGGCTCTAAGAGCTTGACTACTCTTGCTACCTCATATATGTGGCATCCTATAAAATTTGACCTTTTGAGACTGGCTTCTTTCATTAGCATGATGTCCTCAAGGTTATTCACTTTGTAGCATCTGTCGGAATTCCCAGCCTTTCTAAGCCTGAATAATATCCCATTGTATGTACGTATGGTGTATGTTTATCCATTCATCCATCAATGGACATTTGGGTGTATTCCACCTTTGGCTATTGTGAATAAAGCTGCTGTGAGCATGGATTTACAAATGTCTCTTTGTGTCCCTGCTTTCAATTCTTTTGTGTATATGCCCAGAGTGGAATTGCAGGATCATATGGTAACTCTGTTTTTAATAATTTTCTGAGGAACCACCATATTGATTTCCATTTTACATTCCCGCCAAGAGCACACAGGATTCTAACACTTGTTTTTTTCTGTTTTTTGTTTTGCTTTGTTTTGACACTGTCCATCCTAACAGTCGTGAAGTGGTTTCTTGTTATGGTCCAGTTCCTATTTTAAAAGAGTTACTGGGGCGCCTGGGTGTCTCAGACAAGTGTACAACTTTGGCTCAGGTCATGATTACACAGTTCATGAGTTCAAGCCCCATGTCAGGCTCTGTGCTGACATCTCAGAGCCTAGAGCCTATTTCAGATTCTGTGTCTCCCTCTCTCTGCCCCTCTCCCACTTGCACTCTGTCTGTCTGTCTCTCTCTTAAAAATAAATAAACATTAAAAAATGTTTAAAGAATAGTAAAACATAAAAAGCTACATTACACTTACAGCGAAACTACCCACCATGGTTTCCATTAGCAAAGAAACTTCTCCACCAAGTGCCACTCTAACAGTACTGAGTGGTTCATGTCATGAAATCAAAGGATTAGCTGTCTCAAGACTGAGAAAATCCATAGACACTGCCAGTGGCCGCGCATTTATGTCTGCCTCTGCGGAGGGCAGAAGGGTGGTGAGGAGTCTGCCCTGTGCTTCCCTTAGCAGCACCTGATCATCACTGCTGACCTCACTCCTTCATAAGCTATCTTCCAGCATCCCATTCTGTTACCACTATTCCTGTCCTTCTAGATTATTCCTTTATTCCTCTGAACAGGCAAAGGTGTTATCATGCCTATAAAACGTCCCTGGGCCATTTCTCTGCTCACAGCCAGTGCCGCATCTACTTCCTCTCCTTCTGCCCTTTCAGGCATTTCCCCCCACCCCCATGCCATGGAAAGAGCCCTTAGCAAGGCCTCCAGGGGACCTCCGTGTCACCAAAGCCAGTGGTCAGAGATGCTAACCAGGGTCCATCACTCCCTCCTTCTGAAGCACATCTTCACTTAGATTTCCCAGCAGCCCTCTCTTTCTTCTCTCCTTCCACGTTGTGCTTGCCGCTTCTCCATTTTTGTCACCCGAACCACTTTGGAGTCATCTCTGGCTTCTGTCTTTCTCTTCTGTTCCACATCCAACTTACCAGAAAAATCTTGGGGCTCCTCCTCTGAAATATATCTTTGATCTTATCTCTCTCACCTCTTCTTCCACTCTCAGCTTGGCTGAAACCACTGTCATTTCTCACCTGGAGACAGCAGGAAACCTACCGACAGGCTTCCCGGCCCCATCCTGCAGGCCTCATGGTTTGTCCAGAGCCCAAGTCCAGTCAGGCCACCCACTGCTCCAAATTCTCTCGCTCTATATCAATCAGAAAGTCCCACTATGGCTCATAAGACCTACATGAAGAGCCCACACAACCAGCCCCACACCCCACAAAACCAAATCCTTTTGCTCTAATGGCACAGACAACCTGGAGCTGGTAGAAAACTCCAAGCACACTCCCACCTCTGGGCTCTGGGTTCTTTGTACTTGCTGTTCCTTCTATGGGACACTTTTCCCAGATATCCATGAGAATTACTCCCTGCCTCCTCTGGGTCGTTGATCTAATGGCACTTTATCAGATAGTTCTTCCCTGACTGCCTTTCTTTAATAGCCCTCCCTGCCCCATCACTTTTGTTCTGCGTTATCATTTTCTTCAATAAAGAAATGGTTTTGTGGATCTATACAGAGAGGGAGGAGAAGTTGTGGACCAAATAAAGAGAAGAGAGAAGAGGCTAGAAGCATATACACTGAAGTGTTCAGAGTGGTTAGTGCTCAGAGGTAGAATGCTGGGTGGTTTTTATTGTCCTTAGTCCTCACTGTTTTGTCCAAGTTTTCTGGAACAAATATATATTACTTTTTGATCACTAACACTAATTTTAAAATTCCAGATTATTGGCAGGGGTGCTTGGATGGCTCAGTCGGTTAAGCCTCTGACTCTTAGTTTCACCCAGATCATGATCTCATGGTTCGTGGGTTGGAATCACATGTTTGTGAGCCGCATGAGGCTCTGCACTGACTTGCTTGGGATTCCCTCTCTGCCTCTCTCTGCCCCTCCTGCACTCATGTACTCTCTCTTTCTTTCAAAATAAATAAACTTAAAAAAAATTCCGGGATACTGGGGGAGAGAATCTGACTGGCCCGCCCCTGGCCTGAGCACCTGAAGTGTGGCCCCATGGTACACAGGGTGACCCGCTAAAATCTCTACAAGTGTAAGTGGTCCAAAAAGGAGTGGCGGCGCTAACACCAACCTCACCTATGACATGACGGTGGGCAAGGAGAGGAAAGGCCACATATGCACTGTCTAAGATTTGGATCTGGCACATACTAGAATTATCATTTCCAACAAAACCTGTCATTTGCTTTGGTTAGAGACCGTGAGAGGCATCCAGCGTTAGAAAGAAAGGGCCCTTTGAGGTCATCCAGACCAACTCCTTCAAGTACAGCTGAAGAAACTGGGGCAGAAATAGATTGCCCCACCCCCGGTCACAGCTGGGTCTCTGCTCTGTGTCCGGTGCTCTGCACCACACCTTCCTACCTCTCCACCTGGTGCCACGTGGACCTTAGCACGGAGAGCCTGTGCCGGCCCCGAGCTGCCAGTTCGATGTGCTTCTCCAGGAGCCCACCTCTGTGCTGACCTAACCCCTCAGCGCGCTGAGTCGCTGCAAGGCTGGTGGGAGTTCTGGGAGGCTCTCAGAGATGCGGCTTGAACAGCCAGCCCTGCCTGTACATCCTCTCTGGCCCTTCTCCAGTTATTGCAGTGTCCATCCTCCTGTTGGCTAAAGAATGAATTTTTTTTTCCTCTGACGTGGAAGTATTTCTGTGCCGAAGGCACCCTTCCTGAAAAATGTGACTTTCCCGGACCTCCCCAGCCATACGGGCACAAATACAGCTCCTGGAGCCCACTCTCGGAAGGAGAGTGGGATGGGTTAAATTGTATCCTGTGAAATAATAGAAAATATATATCTCACCTGTGCCCTCGGTTTCTGGCACAAAGCTCCTAGAACACATGTCACTTTCTAAGGGGTAAGAGTACTACAAGCACCTTTTGTTCAAATATTTGGTCTTTTTTTTTTTCTAATGCTTTATTTATTTCTGAGAGAGAGAGAGACAGTGTGAGCAGGGGAGGGTCCGAGAGAGAGGGAGACACAGAATCTGAAGCAGGCTCCAGGCTCTGAGCTAGCTGTCAGCACAGAGCCTGACACGGGGTTCAAACCCATGAACCGTAAGATCATGACCTGAGCCGAAGTCAGACGCTCAACCGACTGAGCCACCGAAGTGCCCAAAATATGTGGTCTTTGACCCTGGTTCCTGACACAGAGCTTTTCTAAACCTCTTGGGATTTCCTGGGTGACACGAACACATTTTGTTCTCATGAGGCCGTGCCTGGTGGGATCCTGGATGGGGGTGGATCATCAGAAAGATGAAGCCATCATTAGAAGCTGGGAACTTTGAGCCCCAGCCCCCTTCTTCCTGGAAGGGGAGAGGAACTGGAGGTTTTGTTAATGACTAATCACGTCTACCTACAAGGCAAAGACACCAGTAAAAATCCCAAAAGTAGGGGATTCAGAGAGCCTCTAGGTTGGCAAACACATCCATATGTTTGGAAAGTGGTGCACCCCCAACTCTGTGAAGACAAACTCTTGCTCCCTGGACCCTTCCTGACCTTGCCCTATCTACGTCTTCATTTCGGTCTTCATTTCGCTATTCATCTTTATCCTTTATTATATAATAAGCCAGTAACCACCAAGACCCCCCCCCCCCCAAACAAAGTATCTCTGTGGCTGCAAAAAGGCACAGGCTTGCTTGGTTTACAGATGACAAAAAAATAAATTTGGAAGCCAGCATGGCCCTCAGGCCTCTGCTCCTTCAGCCCCAGCTCAGACTTTCTTCTTTAAGGCCCCACAATCCAGAGAAGGATCTCGTCCACAGCAAGCAGCTCCTGCTACACAGCGTTGTCAATAACCGGGAAAGGAGGGCCATCTGTTTGCCAGGAGGCCTCCACAATGGTCATTCAGGCTGCTTGCGGGGCCCTAGACATACGGGATCACGTAGGGACATAAACTGTAGTTCTTTTTATTATTTTTAAAAAATTTTAATGTTTGTTTTTGAGAGAGACAGAGCATGAGCAGGGGAGGGGCAGAAAGTGAGGGAGACACAGAATCTGAAGAAGGCTGCAGGCTCTGAGCTGTCAGCACAGAGCCCGATGCAGGGCTTGAACCCACGAACCATGAGATCATGACCTGAGCCTAAGTGGTATACTTAACTGACTGAGCCACCCAAGCGTCCTTAAACTTTCTTTCTTATACAAGTTGGTGTTGCCAAAAGTTCAAACACTACTGTTTTAAAGAACTTGAAACACTCTTTTGTGGGAACACAGCCCATGTGAAGGAGTATTTCAACAGAAGAGCTCTTCTTTTTGAAATCTGAGCAATTCTAGTGGCATCTCATGGATGAAAACACCCTTAAAGGAGTATTTGGATCAAAAGCACCATGACTTTAACTCTAGGCCACCAACTTCTAACAGCAGTAGTTTCTTTTATAGCAAGACACAAAATTCTTCTTCCTGTTTTATGAAGAAATTGATTCTCCTTTAGCTCTGCTATTGTTTCCAGTTATAGTTATGAAGACTAGTGGGCACGGCTTTCCTACAGAGAAACTGGTCTTATTGCCCAGCAGTTCTCTGAAGGGGAACTGGTGCTCTCTCTCTCTCAAAAATAAACCAAAAAAAAAAAAAAAAACCAAACAGTTATTTTTAAGTTTTTTTTTTGAAAGAGACAGAGAAAACAAGTGGGGATGAGGCAGAGAGAGAGAAAGGGAATCCCAAGCAGGCTCTGTACTGTCAGTGCAGGAGCCCAACATGGGGCTCAAACTCATAAACAGTGAGATCGTGACCTGAGCCAAAACGAAGAGTTGGACACTTACCCAACTGAGCCATCCAGGCGCCCTCCAAAAAACCTGTGTCTTAACAGATGCTTAAGATGACTTACACGTTCATTGTAGAAAACTTAAAAAGTATTTTTAAGAGATTAAAAAAAAAAAACCCAGTAAATCTAGGAGGAACCAATTTAATATATTATTTTCATTTTTTAAAATAGGTCAAGTCATCCTATTTAAACAGTTTCTAGCTTGCTTTTTTCTCCTAAATTTCAGACATCACCCCAATTTACTTGGGCTTTTGGCTACTTCATGCTCTGTCATAAGGTAGTGAACCCTGGATTTCCTAAATAGTTTTGTTGAGCCCAGGGTGTTGTCAGTATTTCACTATCATAAATGATCTGTGATGAGTAGTTCTGCTTTTCATGTTGCTTTGTAAGTAGCACAGCAGCGTGGATTGTCTGGAGGGCGTGGGGACGTGCCTATTTAATTCCGAGTCCATGACAGCAGCAGGACAGAAAAGCCTCATACTTCATGCAGCAAAGGGGCACCAGGGACACCATTTAGAACAAGTGACTCCCAGGAAAAGTCCTGGAAGGCCTGGGAATGCGGATTTAAAACCAAACCATATCTATGCATGTATACACATATATGTAAGTAGTGCCAAAAAAAAAAAAATCTAGCAATATAAACGCCAAGCATGGAGTAGTGGTGATTTCAGGATAGAAAATGAGATGCAAAGGAAGGCAGGCAAAGAGGCACGTGAGGTTGTTTTGGGTTTTTATTGCCTTTTTTTCCTACATTCTTTGAATGCTGAATGAGAATATATTTATGTACAACTTGTGTAATATTTAAGCAAAGTGTATTTTAGAGAATGAGTTGGGATGGAGCCTGATTTATTCAGCATATGCTTACCTCTTACTCTTTTTTTTTTCCAACCAACCCCAGCACGACGCTTGGCACATTTGGGGTCCTGGCCAGATGAGCGAGTCTGGAGGTGGTGACTTGTTTGGAGCTAAGAAGCTATCACGGGCATTTAGATGCCAGACCTTATTAATCTGTTCTCCTTCCTGCAGATTGGAAGAGATGCCTGGGCATCTGTCTGTGACATAGAAGCAGTGGGTGGAAACACACAGTCTAGGGCCAGGAGCCTGGAGGTTTCAAGTTCACGGGCTCATGTTACCCTTGGTTCCTCTGCTGTTGCTTTAAGTGCTGGTTTAGTCTTCGTTTCTCCATGTCGTGCACGGGCAGTCCCCGGGCCAACAGATGGTAAGATTGTTCCTGTTTCTTTCAGGCCGGACGCCTGGTCCCTGGCTCCATGCCGAGGCAGCAGGGCACAGCTCAGATGACATCAAAGGCAGAAATTCTCAGGTAACACGTCCCTCGGGTGTCCGAATGTAAAAGCAGGAATTCCTCAGGGAGCCCCCAGAAATGCCGAGGCTGTGCTTTCTCCTTAAAGCTTTACATTTTTTGCACAGACTCTTTTTTCCTCAGGGAAAGCCATTTGGTGTACCTTTGTTTGCAGCTAGAGTGAAACACAGTTTCAAACTCTGAAGAGTGAAAGGGGGAGTCCCCATCACATCCAGGAGCAAGGTTGGCAACCCAGAACCCCCTACGAATCCTTCTGCAAGAATGTCCCCCATCATCCCCCCCTTCTCCCAATTCATTCTTCCCTGGTTACAATGGCTTAAGAAGCCTGGAAACAAAACCCTGTAACGTGCATCCAATGGAATTCAGGATTCTGTATTGTCTACAGAATGCAGGGTATCTTAGCGCACCCATGGGGGGTTTTCTCCCATCGATAAAATTGCTTCTTCTGGCCAAATTTAGTCACAAATTAAGTCCTGGTGGCTAGCGGAGAGCTGGGGAGAGAACCAGACAGGTTCTTGTGGGATAAGACAGCTTTTGACAAAATGCCCTCCTTCTTACACAAGGCAGCTTGGGCAGACCATCTCATGCTCCCAGGCGGAAGTGACGTTTCTCACTGCCCGCAACAAGGTCTCATCTTTAGAGGCCCTTTATCACTTCGCAAACATGCATTGAGTCCTGCCCTGGCCTCCTGTTTCAGAGTTCTATGTGGCAAAGAAGGTGGCCTCCTGTCAAACTGGGCCCTTCTGCAGCTACATGGGACAGCATGCGAAGAGACGTGAGAGGCGGAACAAGGTCCTGGACACCAGGATCATTTCCTTGCAGGGAGACAAGCACCTCCTTTCCTAACCATGGCTCATCTATGAGTTGTGATAACCACTTGGATTATCACAGGCTCAAAACTGGGTGTACGGCTGCAGTTAACGGAGAAGCATATATGCACAGGACAAAAGAGGAGGGGGGACCATACACAGAAGTCACAGGCAGGCGCTCTGGGAGATGGGAGTGGATTCCTGATTTTCTTCCTAGCGCGTTTCTGCAATTGCTGAATTTTCTACAGTGAATACATTACTCTTGTGGTCAGAAAAATACAGTAATCATCAAAATAATAGCCCCCACATAACCCAGTTCTTTACATTTTTTCAGATAACTTGCGCATGGGATCTCCTTTGATCCTTTTAGGTACCTTGTGATGTAAGCTAGAGAAATACCTTTAATGATATTGTTTTCAGACAAGAAAACTGAGCCCCAAGGGGCTAAGGAACTTGGCCCGAGGTCACATGCCCAGACTTCTGAGTCCTTGTTTGTGCTCCTCCCGCTATACCTCTCTGCTTTACCTGGTGTATTCAAATCGCCAGGATAGGAATCCTCCTTACCTTCAGACAAGGCCAGACTGATTAAACATTGTGCGGTGTCTGGCCTCTGGCTCCGTGGCAGGCACACACTTAACTCACCAGAGCCCATGAAAGTCTAGGCAAGGATGGATGGTAAAGTCTCTCTGGAGCATCCCATAGTCAAGAAGATCTTTACATCTAGCTGGATACCATCGTAATTTGTTTTTACTTCAGTGAGACAAAAAGCAATCACCTGGAGAGATCACAGGGTTATAAACAAAGCAAACTGCCCCACGGGGTACTTTTCTTTTAACTAGAAGGCCCCAGTGATCTGTGCATGAGCAGGGGCGTCCTGGGCTGGAAATCTGAAGGCCTTGGGGCCAGGAAGTTCTTTGCTTTTCTTGAGTTTCTGTCAAGGACTGGTGTTTGGTCTCAAAAATGTTTATTAGTTGGCATTGAGTCTTCATCTTCCACCAACTGTATGTCCCATTTCATCCCTTTTCTACCCACAATCAGCTCCTTGCATAGGACGGGGCCATCAGGCCCTGGCAGCCTTACGTGAGTGGGGAAAGGCCTTGGTGCCCAGCCCCAGGGTGGGTCGTTGGTGTGTGAAGCGTCTGTTCAGTCCACCTGGTAATGTCACCATCTTTCCACAGTTATCCCTAAAGACACTCCGGTGAGAAGGCAGATGAAGCCAAGGTCCTGTGAGCCGGCGGGGGCTCCACCCTGCCAGATGGGCATCCCCAGGAGAACGTGTCTGTCCTCACCACGCTCGAGCTGTAATTCAGTTCACATACAAACTCAGAGTGGAGCATTTATTTATTGTAAATATGTAGTTTGCACAGGCTTTAAGTCCGTACGGTAGTTGACTTTTGAGTAATTCAAACACACACCCACATTATGTTTCTCTGATTTTTTAAAGATGCATCTTGTCACTCATCTGTCAGTACAGATAGAGCCCTGTCCCCACCCCATGGTGTGTCCATTCCATGACTGTAAATATGCGTGCAGGCTGGCCCTTCCTAGATTCTGAACCATTTCTAGAAGATTCCTTAGTTTGCAAGTAGTCCCAAAGTCATAGCATCCATGATAGCTTCTTATTGGCAAGATTCTATATTCTCATCACACAAACTGCAAAATCGAACCAAATAATGCCTTATAAATGATGCAGCTCAGAGAGAGTAGTGTATCCCCACACCCAACAATGCCACACAGCCTCCCGTGAGCGAGATGCCGTGTCTCGCTTCCGTTTTGCAGTACAGGGGTTTTCTTTTTTTTTTTTCTTTTTTTTTATGCTGCCTAATGTAAATAGAACGCAAAGTAAAGGCAAGAGTGGGTGTGGGCCCTCCAATGCCAACCACAGGGCCCTTTTGTAACTGAATGACCCTACAAGTAGCCAATGCTCTTACCGTTTACAGTGCACCCCCCCCCCCGCGCCCACGTTCTCATTCCTCCTGTCCCGCTAAGTCTCTAGCCCCAATCCTGGCAGCCAGGGTAAGGCGAAATTTATGAGATTTGGGTATTTTTTCTGCAAGTTAGAAACATACATAATTCATTATTATTATTATAGTCAATTATAAATTCTATCTCAGAGTTGTTGGTTTTTTTCCTTCCCGGGATCAGGGTTTCCACAGAAAATATGACATGAGAAAGACTGAAGCATATTAGCAAATATCTGCCTCACATACCTGGTGCCTCACCCCCACCCTTAGGAACCTTGGACGCACCTGCCAGGCAAACCCAGCTCCCTTCTGAGCTCAAGAAGACCTGACTGGTCTGAGAGCTCCCCCTTCCGTGTGGCAGGCACTCCCCGTGGGGGCGAAGTGTGGAATTACAGCGGCCCCTGAATATGGACCTGGTCTGGACGGGCTCTGGCTGCTATTCTCACACCCTCTTTCCTGAGCTGGCCAGAGAATGGAGGCGTGTTTTCACTTGCACCTGACTCCAATTGCTCCCTGTCCTGGGAGAGGAAGCTGTACCAGAGGAAGGAGAGAAAATAAAAGGAAACAGACTGACCCTGGGGTCTGTGCTCAGAATAGGTAGAGATGAAAGGAAATCAAGAGGGAGAGGTGGGAAGAGCAGTGGAAAAACAGGTGTCCTTTAGAACAACCCACTCATGTGCTCAGACCTGAAGGACACCGTGTCCAGATCAAGCCATCCAAAAGAGGTAGCCAGTCAGGAGGGTTTTGGCAGACGTGACTGCGTACACTCAGCTGTTGTCTAAAAACTAACATGGCATCCTACATTATTGTTGTGCTTTCTCATTCCAGACAGGGGAAACTCAGCAAGGTCAAGTGCCCTTCTCTGGGGAATCAATCATGCCAAATTGTAACTGCTAAATCAATGGAAAAGAAGCTTTTGCAGGTCATCAGCTCTGGGCACAGCTGATTAGTTTTATTGGCTCTGGAAGGTTTCCAAAAGGTCAGAATTACTTTATTATAAACGGTATCCACTCCTTCTCCCTCCCAGTTGTATAAAATAATTACAAGGCTTTTCATGATCATGATTAAGAAGGCCCAAGACAAAGGCAATTCCACCTTCAGAGGAGACTGGCTGCCCTGATGAGGTGTTTATACATTCACGTTCCACGCCACTGGGAGAGAAATTAAAAATAAAACCATCAAGGACGGAGGGAAGGGATGAGCAGAAACCAAATATCGCAATTAGGGAGAACTCTCAGGAATCTGGCATCACATCTCTCCTCGAGACCTATCACTGAACTTCACACCCTTTGAACTCGTGAGCCACCTGCCTGTGGCAGGACAGAGGTGTAGCCCCTTGACCGTACTCTTTGGCAGAGGCGACGGATCACAGCACCCTCACCGCTCTCAAGTGTTTCTCGGACGCTGTCGCCTGTGGCTCCCCTGTGTTTCACATGTATTTTGTATTTATTGATGTGCCCTCCACAGACTTCTTTCTTTGTACCTAATAAACTTTAGTAAGTGGAAATGCTTCTGCTCGTGTCCTTGTTGAAACCCATGAAGGGGTGCCAGTACCCATCTAAGCCAACTGTTTTTAAGGGTTAGAAGAGCTTCTAAGAATGACAGGGCACGGGGGATACTCACACAGGAACCAACATCTGCTGCAGCGTGCTCTGTCTGAAATGGGGCCTTTCTGTTCTGAGCTGACGTTTCTCACTAACCTACGACGTGGTGTTTTCCTAGCTTTGGTGGCTAAATGGAACGGATGGGTATTTGGGGAAAGCAACGAAGGGAAAATCTTTCTCAAATATATTTTCTTTTCATTTAAAAAAAATGTTTGGGGTGCCCAGGTGGCTCAGTCGATTAAGGGTCCAACTTTGGCTCAGGTCATGATCTTGCAGTTCACGGGTTTGAGCCCCGTGTCAGGCTCTGTGCTGACAGCTCAGAGACTGGAGCCTGCTTCAGATTCTGTTTTGCCCTCTCTCTCTGCCCCTCCCCCACTTGTGCTCTGTCTCTCTGTCTATCAAAAATAAATAAATGTTAAAAAAAATTTTAGGGGCGCCTGGGTGGCTCAGTCTGTTAATCGGCTGACTTCGGCTCAGGTCATGATCTCACATTTGTGAGTTCGAGCCCTGTGTCAGGCTCTGTGCTGACAGCTCAGAGCCTGGAGCCTGCTTCTGGATTCTGTGTCTCCTTGTCTCTCTGACACCTCCCCGCCCCCACTCACACTCTGTGTGTGTCTCTCTCAAAAATAAATACACATTAAAAATTTTTTTTAATTTTTTTAATGCTTATTCATTTTGAAGGAGAGAGAGTGAGCATGAGCAGGAGAGGAGCAGAGAGAGAGGGAGAGAGAGAATAACAGGCTCTGCACTGACAGCACAGGGCCCAACACAGGGCACGATCTCATGAACCGTGAGATCATGACCTGAGCCAAACTCAAGAGTCAGATGTTTAACTGACTGAGCCCGAGGTGCTCCTCAAATACATTTTCTTAAAAAAAAATACATAACCCTGTACTGTTTTATTAATAAAAAATGAGCAGAGACCATTGCTTATAGAATTCCTCTCATTTGTGTTAAGATGAAACCACTTTCGATCTTAAGTGCACTGAGCACCTGCCCCCAACTTTACAAACCCCTGGCAGAATCGATACGAGGCAGTATCGTCTTGATCTCCACTATAGTATTTTCAGGTGGTCACGTCGGTAAGTAGCACAGAGGAGATGCGGTTCACCTGCTAGGTAAGCTGTCTTAGGGGCAAACATAGATCTGAATCTCTATTTTGCCTCTTACAAGTTTGAGGATGTAAATTATGTGACCCATCTGTGCCTCAGTTTCCTCATATGTAAAATGGGGACACAAATTTGTACCTATGCATACAGTGGTGAAGTGAAGTTAGACCTAGACAAGCCCTTAACCCTTGGGTCCCAACGGACCCAGGTATCGGCACAGGCCACACTCTAGGGTATAAGCAGTGTGTTCATGCTGAGTCACAAACAGCCATCACTGGCTGCATACACCCCAGCCCTTCTGCTTAGATAGTAGCAGAGCTGCTCAGACTACACTCCACTGGCTCTGCTGTTGGATAAAAAGGAGATGGCACTAATTAAAATTCATAGAGGCTCCCAGCATCAATCCCATCTAGAAGCGAATTTCTAAGTTAGCTGCTAAACACACTTTGCATCTGAATTAGTTAAGGACCTGACTTATTTTATCTGCCCTCTTATTAGTAGAGGTAGAGGTAAGCTCTTCAATGACCGGAAGGGCTAATCTGAGTAGAGAAGAAAAGCAATGGCCCAAGAGAACTGACAAAGGAGATGATGAACTTCAAAGCCATGGACTACAGAGGGGAAGAAGCTGTCACTTTAGGCATCTCTGATAGAGTTAAAGGTGGGAAAGGTGGTACTAGAAGGGTGAGGGAAGTGGCTTCATGGGAAGGGCTGTGGACTCCAGAAGCAAGGTCTGAATTCTTACCCCGTGCCCCAGAATTTTGGGCATCCTTCATGAACCTGTTCTGTTATAGGTTCAATGATGTCTTTCAAAAATTCCTATGTGGAAGTCCTCACCCCATATCTCTGCTATTGTTTGGGAAGAAGGTTGCAGATGTAGTTAGTGCCGATGAGGTCATACGGAAGTAGGGCGGGCCCTAATCCAATGTGGCTGGTGTCCCTGTAATAAGGGGAATGTGGACCCGGACACATACACAGGGAGAAAGCTATGGGAAGATAAAGATGGAGACGAGGTGATGCTGCAGGCCATGAAATGCCAAATTACCACCAGCAGACCACCAGAAGCTAGGGCGGAGGCATAGGACGGATTCTCCTTCACTGCCTCTGAGGGAGCCGCCCTCACTGACACCTTGGTTTTGGACATCTAATGTTTAGAACAGTGGGACAATAAATTTCTGTTGTTTAAGCCAACCAATTTGTGGTATTTTATTACAGCAGCCTTAGCCAACTTATACATGCTCTGTCACCTGGGAGTTTTGCAGCAGAAGGTTATGTTTACGAAAAAAAAAAAAAGGGTCAGAAATAAAGTTTAAAGAGCCAGCAGTTCCTTGTCATATCAATGAGGCAGTCATCTACTCTGACCTTGACACAGGTCACCTTGTGACAGTGACTAAGTCCTATTTTCATAAACAGGATATTCAGCTGCTCTTTTTTTTTTTTTTAATATTTTATTTATTTCTAGGAGAGAGAGAGAGAGACAGCGTGAGCAGGGGAGGGTCAGAGAGAGAGGGAGTCACAGACTGAAACAGGCTTCAGGCTCTGAGCTGGCAGTCAGCACAGAGCCCGACGCGGGGCTCGAACCCACAAACCGCGAGATCATGACCTAAGTGAAAGTCGGACGCTTAACCGACTAAGCCACCCAGGCGCCCCTCAGCTGCTCTTTGCCAGTCATGGTGGAGACCAAATCATGGCAGCAGTCTGGCATATCTAGGTCACAAGAGTGGAGAGAGCTGACCTTTCTCTTACGTAGCATCTTTTCCTCTTTTGGAGCTGCTATATGGCTTTAACCTAAAGATACCTGGCATAGAAGGCAGGAGCCATTCTAATGATCTAGACTTCTGTTTCTAGTGTGGTTTTTATTTGTTTAATTGTGCTAAAATATATGTAAGAGAAATTTACCATCATAACCATGTTTAAGTGTACAGTTTAGGGACACCTGGGTAGCTCAGGCAGTTAAGTGTCTGGCTCTTGACCTCAGCTCAGGTCCTGAGCTCATGGTTTGTGAGACAGAGCACTGACAGTGCACAGCCGGCTTGAGATTCTCTCTCTCCCTCTCTCTCTCTCTCTCTGACCCTTCCCTGCTTGCTCTCTGTCTCAAAATAAATACATAAACATTAAAAAAAAATTTTAAGTGTACATTTCAGTGGTGTTAAGTACATTCACATTATCATGCAACCTGTCTCCAGAACTCTTACCATCTTGCAAAACAAAAACTCTCAGGGCACCTGGGTGGCTCAGTTGGTTAAGCAACTGATTCTTGATTTTGGCTTGGGTCATGGTCTATCTCACACTTTGTGAGACTGAGCCCCGCGACAGGCTCTGCGCTGACAATGTGGAGCCTGCCTGGGATTCTCTCTCTCTCTCTCAAAATAAATAAACAAACTTAAAAAAAAACAAAAAAACTCTACCCCTCAGACAACAATCCTTGTTCCCCATCCCCCTGCCCCCGGCAACCACCATTCTCCTTTCTGTCTCTGTGAGTTTTACTACTCTTGGGACCGCATATAAGTGGAATTATACAATATTTGCCGTCTTGATACTGGCTTATCTCACTTAGAATAATCTCCGTGGATACTTGCGCTGCTTCCACACTGTATTGTGAGTGCTGCTGCTGCTATGAACATGGGTATAAAAATATCTCTGAGACCAGACTTGCAATTCTTTGGGGCATATATTGAGAAATAGAATTGCTTGGTTATATGCTATTTCTATTTTTTCAACATTTCTGAGGAACTGCCGTACTGTTTTCCACAGCAGTTACGCCATCTTATACTCCCACCAATACTGTACAGCGTTCTGACGTCTCTGCACCCTCCCCAACACTTATTTTCTGCTTTTTGGTGGTAGCCATCCTGAAGGGTATGAAGTGGTGTCTCATTGTGCTTTTGTGTTTATTTGCAAAGAGTGAAGTTATTCACAGAGCGGTACACCATGCTGGAAACCCTGAGCTAAGATTAGGCTTGATGAAGATGCCAGTCGGAAAAATATATCCCCCTTCATGTGTTTTCTCTGTTGTGACTGATGCCCGCATTTATTCAGGAAACACAAGGCCATTAATTTCAGTATTTTTTTTTTATTGTATGCTTGACGTATTTAGAGACAATTCCAAGGGCAAGCACTGGATGGGGAAGTTATCAGGTTCATCGATATTTGTACAAAAGGCTGTTAAGACTACACAGTCAGTCCCCACTGCAGGAAACGGAAAGATTTTCTTTGTTAGTATTCCCTGCCAATTGCATTTTCCAGCTCACACATGGAACTTCTCACGACATGATTGCAAACACATACATATTCATTCCCATGAGAAATCTGCATGTGACATTTCGGAATGTTGGAAGTCGCGCAGATAAAGCACGTTTGACACAAACCGTGGGAGCAGAGCTGGGGCTTGGGGGCGTGCAGAACGAAACGCCGCAGCCACAGCGAGGCAACAGCATGGTGCTGGGAGAGCAGGTGCATGTGACCTGTCACTCCACCCCCTCCGTACGGGGAACGGCCAGCAAGTGGGGGGGCTCCCCTCCCTCCTTCCTCCATGTGCTTCCTTCCTAAAGCTGCGAGCTCAGCCAAAGACCTCCCCGACAAATGACTGTTCTTCAGTCAAGGATGCAGTGAGGGGTGTCACAGCAGACACAACGGTCCCCCCTGGCTTCCGTGCTGAGGCCAGCCAGAGCTGTGAGACGCCTGTACCAGTGTGAGGTGACGTACGTTAGGGAGCGGAGTGGTTTGCCTGGCTGCTCGTTCTTTTTTATACCTAATAATCGGCCCAATTGTAAAGGAACTTCACTGCTAGTATCTAATAGGCATACACCTGCTCTGTTAGCTTGTAAGGAAGACTGTCTAATAGTAACACTGTGGCGCTAAAGGATCACCATAATCTCAAGTATCTGCTTATTCTACTGGAAGTTCCAAACCACCTCCAAGAACGAAGAGTACTACTTCTGCTTTGCTAATATACTTTTTCTGGAGCCCCTGCCCCCTTATGGGATGAGGGCTGTCTTCATCTATGGCAGTGCCATCTATTAGACAAGACTAAGTAGCTTACGTTTGGTTAAGGGGCATGGGATTGGGGGAGAAATTCCATCCTTTACAGCCATGTCCTCCTTCTGCACAAAGTATGCACGGCTCTCCCATTCAAGTCTTAATAGACACACAGAGAGTTATTTCAGGAAGCTATTTACACACTGGCCTTTAAACATTGCTTTCTTGGCTCATCTTGAATATTCATTTTCTCCATATTGCCTTTAGAAAAAGCAATCCCTGGTCAAGAACTTATCCAGGTAATGACAAGCATTTTCCAACAGCAGGGTCTGTTAGGAGAATATGGAAAGAAACCTCCCCCCGGCAACCTGCTCAAAATCCAAGATCAAATTTCAAGCAGTTGACATGAGTCGATAAAAGTCACTAGAAGTGAGTACAGCCTCATCAACAGATTCTCTACTCTCTTCTTGTCTTTCTCCACACCACCCAATGCACAGAGAATTCATCCTCGCTATTACTGGGAGTTTGACTGTACACAGACCCCTCTCTGTGCCCGACGGAAGTGTCCCAGGCCCGACGAACTTCTGCCCAGCCTCGCCTTGGAGGGCTGCCACGGCCCCTGGTGGTAAGACTGGGGCATCACAATTGTGACGTACACCATTTAGCCCGGACAATTCTCATTTAGGGTTGGCCCTTCTTTGAGATCCTGGACAAAGGTCAGTGTGCCCTAAAAGAAGTAGCCATTGTATTTCCCACTTCACAGCGGTTAAGAAATGGCATAGACTGGTTGGCCCATAATAATGTTTGGCCCATAATAATGAAAGTGGACCCCTGTGTAATTTATTCTCACTAGACTTCTTTTGGTAAGCCCCAAATCACCTTGGGTACCTCAGACATCTCAGGTCTGATGAAATGTTTCTGTAAGAGGTGGACGTGAAACCACATGGTGGAATTTTAGGGCAGCTTAACACATAACCTTGTTTTAAATAACCACCCAGCAGGTGGACTTAGGCAGGGTGAGGTACCTATAATGTCACCCCCAAAGCTCCCCCTCCCCCAACTCAGCACCTGTATACAGATGCTTTGAGAATGGCCGTTCCATCTAACAGAAGACCCTGAGTTCATCCACAGTGAAAGCCCTGAATGACACAGAGCAACTACCAGCCACCACAAATGGCTGTGTTGGCTCTCTCAGCTCTCAAAATATCCTTCTCATCTCCCACCACTTGTCACTTTTCCTTTGCGATTTTACGTACAGAACTTACAAAACTGGACCCAAAAGCTCATGGTGCTTTTGTACCTACACGCTTAAAGGGGAGCTGGTAGAAAAACCAGATGTGTTCCGATAAAACTGGTGACCCTGCATGTCCACATCTGTGTGTGAGACCCACGTCCCCTCCAGCCCTCATTGCCTGTCGTGCACCGCTGTCAATGCAGTGTCACTAACCCAAGGTCGCTTCGAAGATTACTGACACTCACGGTATTTCCACTTGCAAATTGCTACCAGGATGAGACATGATTAGGCCCAAAGGGTACGGGTGAGGTTGGAATGATGGGTTGCTGCTCTTCCACTAGCCGCTTACCTGCATATACATCCATTCATCATCTCTGCCCTCTGTCCGTTTCCAGAGTGCTTGAGAGTTTCGATGGCTGGAGGTAAGCCCCACTGCACTTGCCCACCTCAGCTGCCTTCATTGTGAGGGCAGCTACCAGGACATGCGGGCATGAGGAATAAAGGGAGGGCCAGGAAGAGGGCCAGGGCATCGTACACAGCTTTGTGGGATATAATGAGCCGGGCAGGAGAGCTGGGGGGCTGGATCGCTACCCTGTAGTGATCTGCTCCTGCATCCACCTGCCACCTCATTGCCCTCTGTCTTCCCAATGCTGAGCCCATCTGGTCTTCCTCACACACTCTCCTGTTCTCCGGGGGTAAATCAAATGCTTCGTGTGAACACGACATTGGAAACAAATCAACTGAATGAAAGTCTCTGCTGAGATACCGTAGTCGCCACTCCGATTCCAGCTACTTTAATGAGAATCTGAACAGCCAAGCGCCTCTCCTTTTCTTTCCCTCATGAGCTGGAGAAACTCGCAGCTTTGTGGGGTAGAACTATGCCATAGGGCCATTTAATTAATCCTGGAGTAGATGGCCATAACTGGGGCCAAAATCGTTTCTACGCAAGGCCAAGGGGTGGGTAAGCTACTGTGCAGAGAGCCACGTGGTGACGTGGGGAAGCCACGAGCATGGCTGCCCCCAAATCTCTAACATGGGCAGTTCTAGCTACCTCCGCCAACCAGCCCTCCCACAAGCACACAGGAGCCGTCTGCGGGTCCACCGCACGCAAGCGCAGTGGGCAGAGGACAGGCTCCTTAAAATCACGAGAATCAGGATGAGCTGGGACTAGAGAGGGCCCCCTCTGTTCCTTCCCATTGGTTTTGTCCTTCAGCAGACATGTGTGCAGACATTCTGCACCACAGGCCTGCACTCATGGGAAGGGAGGCCGGGTGGCTTCTCCCTCAAGTACCCACACAGGAGCCCTGGGCCTTTTTAACCTGAAAGAAACCATTCCTGAAAGAAAGAATAAGACTTCGATAGAGTTTGCTTTTCTCACACACTCAGTACTGTGGAGCCTCCTGCGGAGGCCTGATGAACCCTCGTCCTCTGTGAGAAGGCTGATGTGTCCGCTGTCACTGAAATACAACGATAGCAGCTGAAAATCCACAATGAGTCACACAATCGAACGACAGGCAAATGGATACACGTGACATCGCAAAAGAAGGGGGGCTACGTTGTCGAAGAAGGGGACATTGTTGGGATTCAAGGCAGAACTCAAGAGTGTGGCTTAAATGCATCTGAACTTTCTCGTTTTACTCAGACAGGAGAGTGGTTTGTTTTGCTGGTAATTTAGTAAGGTGGGAACGTTTAAATAAGAAGAAGAGAGGGAATGCTTACTTCACTTAAAGAACTTAATCTCAGTGTCAACACAGTCATAGAAAAGGTCCCCCACCTCAATGGGGTCCAGAGGGTCAGAGCTGGTCAGAATCTCCTCCATGGCTTCCAGGCCTTGCCTCTCTAGTTCCAACATGGTCTTCCTCAGCTTGCGACCCTGCTCCTGAGGAAGGACAGCAACAGCGAGAGTCACTGCGATGGACAAGAAAGCCTCCCAGCAGCCTGCCCACTCCATTCCATCTGTTTCCCCAGGACTGCCACAGGGATCATTCTGGAATGCCAGGGTGGTTATGGTACTGCTCTGCTTGGCATCCTTAACTCCTCACTGCCTTCAGGATAAGATCCAAACTCCTGAGTGACATTCGGGAAAGGCCTTTTGTAACGTGAGTACGAGGCGCCTCCTGGCCTCACCTCCCGCCAGGCCCCCCAAAGTCTCCCTTTCTCTGAACTGATTGCATTCTTCCAACCCTCCTCTTCCTCAGCACTCGGTCAACGTGCACCCATCCTCAGGCCTCTGAACTTCTCCTCTGGGCTCCCTGTCAATGCCTTTACTTCTGCATGGCTGTGCTCTTCCTGTCCTGTAAGGGTCTGTCTCCTTGCCTGTTCCCCCCATTAGACCACAATCTCCTGGGAGTGAGAACTGGGCTCATCTCCACGCTCAATGCCTGGGACACAGTAGGCACTCCCAGTGAATGCTTGTTGAATGAATAAATGGATCAATGAATAACCACGTGCCATGTCTGACCACAACGTACTTCTTTCTGAGCGGGTGAGATTTCTTCTTCCACTCACTCTGAGGGGATGACAGTGAAAAGCTTTCATGTGCCCAGTTGGGCCCAGAATGGAGAAGCTGCTTCAGCAGCCATCCAGAGCCTCCTAACATTGCGCCGACTCAAAGCAATGGTCGTTTCTCAATGCCAAAGCCCACCCAGCCTCATCAGTCTCATCTCTTTGGCATTTTATACAGAATTGCTCAAGCACACGCCCCTTTCTCCCTCTGTCTTCTAGTTGCCAAATATCCAAGGAACCTTACACCAAGAGGCGTTGTCACTCCAGGCTTACTGTCATCCACCTAGAAGATAGGCCTGTCGGGAACGGCAGTAGGTGGCCCTGGACAAAAGTCAGTGCGGTATATGGCAGCACTCATGGTCCAGGGCAACAGTGGGCACGGAAGACGGATGTAAAAACACCACTGGACTCTGACATGTCAAAATGGACATTTCTTTGGCAAGAAGGGCAAAGTTATGAATAGTGAGACCGCCCTTCTCTGAGATTCTTTCTGAAATCCCTTGATTCACTGTTAACATTGCCTTTCTTTATATGCTTTTTATATAGTCCGCAATGCCAAGCATAATATAAAATAAGCTCACCCAGTCCACACAAATGCAGACACCAATTTATCTACAAGGTGTCCCTTTCTTCAGAACAAACTAGACTTGTTGCAAGTTGGCAAATACATGCTTGGGAAGCAGATGGGCATCTGAGTGCCACATTCCTTCCCCTTCCTTTCAGCAAAACAGAGTCTTGGGTTTAAAAAAATTTTTTTTACTTTTTTTTTTTTTGAGAGATAGAGTGTGACAGAACATGAGTGGGGAGGGGCAGAGAGAGAAGGAGACACAGAATCTGAAGCAAGCTCCAGGCTCTGAGCTGTCAGCACAGAGTCAGATGCAGAGCTCAAACCCACCAACTGTGAGATCATTACCTGGGCTGAAGTTGGACGCTTAACTGACTGAGCCACTCAGGCACCCCAAGAGTCTTGAATTTTAAACTCAATCCATCACGAATGGCTGCTGTAGGGTTATATTGGGTGAGTGTCTTCTTTGAATTGACCTCTTGTAACTTTATTTATAGAAGCTTTGTGGGAAGGGGCAGGTGAGCTGCACGTTGAAGAATAACTTTTTTTAAAAACTAGGAATTCAGGGCACCTGGGTGGCTCAGTCAGTTGAGCGTTTGACTCTTGATTTTGGCTCAAGTCATGATCATGTAGGATCAAGTCCTGTGTGGGGCTCCAAGCTGAGTGCGGAGCCTGTTTGAGATTCTCTCTCTTTCTCCCTCTCCCCTGCTCGTGTACACACTGTTGCTCTAAAATAAAATTTTAATTTAATTTAATTTTTAAAAACTAGGGATTTGAGAATCTTTTTTAAAAGAACTCCTTACAATTATAGTAAAATATGCATAACATAACATTTGCCATTTTAGCCATTTTTAGGTGTACGAGGTCAGTGGCAGAAGGACATTTGCACTAGTGTGCAGCCTACCCACCATCTGTCTATAGAATTTTTTTGAAGAATTACTTTTTTTAAGAAAAGAACAACACGTGGATTGCCTGGGTGGCTGAGTCGGTTGGGCAGCCGACTTGGGCTCGGGTCATGATCTCACGGTTCGTGGGTTGGAGACCTGTGTGCTGACAGCTAGCTCAGAGCTTGGAACCTGTTTCGGATTCTGTTTCTCCCTCTCTCTCTGACCCTCCCCTGCTCCTGCTGTCTCTCTCTCTCAGAAATAAATAAAACGTTAAAAAAAAAAACAACCAAACCACGTGATTGCATCTTTAAATAAAGCATTGCCATCTCGTACATCGTTTTATCCCCAAAAGTATACAAAGAATTCTAGACAGCAGAAAAGCAGCTACCCTCTTTAGAATCGCACATTCCTCTAATTCCTAGGGAAACAGGGAATGAAAGAGGGATATTCCTCGCCCACTGAGTTCTAGGACAACATCAGAAGTGGAGGCTTCGATTCATTGGGTTTCAAGAGACTCACTTGAGTAAAGTGAATAGCAGATTTCTAGAAGGGTCTCAGGTACCTGGATGGCTGGAAGGGGGCGTGCTGGCGAGGAGGAAAACAAGGTCCCGCCTCCTTGTGCGCAGACCGCGCCCCTGCCACGAGCCCACCCCTAGGCTCACCTGGTCACTTTCGATGACAGCGCGCGCCCACTGGTGGGCCTTATAGAGCTCGTGCCGGCGGTCGGGCTTCTCCTGAAACCGAGGCTCCTTTTTGGCAGGGTCATCGTCCCCAAAACAGGGGGATTGTGCTTTGGGGACAAGTTTTACGTCATCCACAAAGATGAAAGGCTTGAATATGGACCTGGAGAGAAAGCAGAGGCGCTTCAGCCCAAGTGAGCCTGAGGCATGGGTACACCAGGGACGATCGTCTCCTTGGACAAATGCCTCCTGAGCCAGCTCCTGGTGGCTGGCGGCTGGTGGCTGCTGGCTGGTGGGTGGGCACCAAGGCAGACACAACTGCATACCTTAGTAAATATTTTAGTAAAACTAACTGTCATGTACCAGCTACAAATTCTTCTATTAACAGCCAGGGGACATCAAAACAGACTTGCTTTGTTCCTGAAAGGTTGGAGAGGCCCCTTTCAGTTGCGTCAAGCAAGGCAAACAGACACGCAGTGTTAGGAGGAAAGGGCGCAATGGGCCATCTATCTGTGCTGAAGGAGGTTTGCCTTTCTCTACCATGGCTTGCTGGAAGGTGATTCCTGGAAAGGAAGGGACTGAGACCCTGTGTCTTTTTTATTTTTAGGTTCTACCTGATTTGCAGATGGCATAAAATGTTCCAGAGTCCCCACAGAGGACACACCACAGAGAAACAGGAGTCCCGTTGTGTGAGAGAGGAGCTCTGGGCACAGAAACTCACTCAGCTCTTCTATCACAATGGTGTATCTTAGGGAAAATGGCTGTAGGGGTGGGGGATGGGGTGAACACGAGCGTGCATGTATCTGTGCATACCTGGGCACATGTCAACACACACACACACACACACACACACCCCAAAAGAGCCATGTATCTAAAGAACTGCATCCTGGGATCCCAAGCCAACGGGGCACGTGGAGAGCACACCTGACTGAACACTAAGGAGAGAGTCTTATTCTCCTCTCTCTGCACCCAGATAAAGCATCACAGCAGGGCTCCTGAGCCCCGAGGAGGGTCTGCTCTCAGCCACACCATGGGGCAGCACCTGCAATAACAGGAAAGACCCCCATGTGTACCGGTTGGGTGTGGGTTGTTTTCTCCCCTCCAAACTGGTGTGCCGGGGCCACTCCACGCTTCAAGTGCGTGAGCAGTGAGCGGGGATACTGGCTCCTTCAGCCCTGGGACGGCTGGGCTCGAGGCGGCCAGGGCAGCCCTGCCGGTGTGCCACACAAACATTCTCAGCTGCGCCGCAACCTGAAAAGGACTTGGAACCAATGACCCTGGCTACCCAAGTTGTGGCCTTGGACCTGAGGCTTCAGCCTCACCCTCAGGCCCCACCCCCATCCCTGAACCAGAATCTGCGTGTCCACAAGGTCCCCGGGGGTTGGCAAGATACCAAGTGTGAGGAGCAGGGCTGCGGACAACAGTACAGGCCCCCCTCACCCACCCACCCTCCCTGCTATCTGAAGATAGAATGTTCTATGAAGCCTCTCGTAAGCCAAAATGGTATAGAGCAAAGAAGTAACTACCACTTCGTAAAAGCAAAACTCCTCTTGGGATTTCTTTCGGTTTGTGAAAACAGGGACTGTACTAATGTACGTCTTTCGTAAAAGTGACGTGGTGGAGAGCGAACTTGCAGATAGTGGGGGAAAGCTGTTATGCGAAGTAACCTCTTAGGTTACTTCCCTGAGGATATCACGGGAAAGAGGACTCAGGAGAGGAAAGACCCTGCAGTCACTCTGTAAGACTGGGCTCAGGCTTAGTTAATTTGAATATTAAAAGCAGTGAGACCTTCCTACCCCAAGCTGCGAAAGTGGGATGGGACTGGTCAAGGACTGGTGCCAGGTCCCCGTTCATGGACCCTCCCCAGGAGGCGGGGGGCTGCCTTTCACAGAGGGAGAACAAAGTGCCACTTCCTACAGCCTGCTAAACATCCATGGGTCGTTGGCCCTTCTACTGAACGCTGAACAGATGACCGCTGAAGGTGAAAGGAATCGAGGGCAAAACTTACAAGTGTCTAAAGCAAGTCTGATTACACAATGTTGAGTTTTCCAATTCGTCATTCAGTTGATTCTGCAAAAGGGCTGCAGGGTAGGGCGGTCCCAGGAAAAGCTTAACGGAGGGGGAAGGGTGGGGGAGTGGGAGGAAAATGACGAGAAGAAAGGGTCCAGGCCTCTGGGGCCTTCTCATCTCTTACAACACAGCGGCCTCACAGCAGGCAAGCATCCCACCCTTCGGGGCCCAACAGCACCACAGGGCTCCTGAAAAGTCAGCGCCCAGCATGCCGTCGGGCAGCAGACGGTAATCTGCAGCGTCCTGGCCAGCACAGAGACCCTCTGCGGGAGACCGGCCCTGGGGCTCCAGCCGCACAGCCCGGGGCCTGTGCAGTCCCCATATTCTCGGCCGCCAGGTCTGTGCTGGCCAGAAAGGGTCAGAGCTGTGCCCTCTGCAGGCTTCCACTGGGCGATGGGGTGCCACAGGCCGGGTCACTGGCAGAGCTTTACTCTGCATCCCAGGACCATCCAGACATGGTGGCCCTGTGGGCAAGAACCACATCTCTGGGGGGCCAGGAGGGCACAGTCTGGTATCACTCGTCGGGCTAAGCATGGATCCCACATCTGCCTGACTCACTGTGGTGGGGACAGGGCGCCGGGCTGGGCCTCAGAATGAGGGTGTGTGGCTCCTCTCTACTCTGACCAATAGTGGGGACACTTGTGTTCCTTCTCTGTCTCCCACCGGGACTAAGTCCCCTCCCAGCTTCTGAACCTAAACATTTCTATTTGTATAGACACACTGGCCATGCAGTCCATGAACTTGTGACTCCGACTTCAAGAAGTTCATGCTGGGGCACCTGGGTGGCTCAGTCGGTCGAGCGTCTGACTTGACTCGGGTCATGATCTTATGGTTTGTGAGTTTGAGCTCTGTGCTGTCAGGGCAAAGCCTGCTTCGGATCTTATGTCCACCTCCTTTTCTGCCCCTCCCCTGCTCTCTCTCTCTCTCTCTCTCTCAAAAATAAAATAGACATTTAAAAAAAGAGGTTCATGCTAAGCACAGTCGTGGTCTTTTGCATCCAATATGTAGGATAATGTGTAGTAAAAATCATTCCATTTGATGGAACTTCAAACCCACTCCACATGTGCTGGAAGGTGGAGATTAGTTTAACCTCAATAAAGATATCCGGTGGCTCTTCTAAGGCAAGAAAGTAACATATGTTTACCAGTTATCCCATCTATCAGTTTTCTTTTTCAAAATAAATAATAAATATGATGGGGTTCCCATAATACTCTAATGTAGCCAAAGCTCTCCAAAGATTTCCCCCCTCCAAAGTCTGTAAGGAAGTCGGCATCCTCAACTGCTAAAAACATGAAATGTAGATATGTGAAGTGGTTAAAGGGAGAATTTTAGACATTGAATAAATAAATATAAACTACTGCTGATAGCAAATTGCAATAACACTAATACTTGTTTAAACCAGAATGTGGGAATTATAATTCAGGCTTCATTATTTGTGCCTGTGAAGCAGAATGTGGATAACTCATTGGTTTCCAAACCTTCTGATTTCTTGTCAAGCCTTATTAAAAAAAAAATCACACTAAAAATCCAAACAGGTGAGGAGAATCTCTGACATTTTTCCACACTTAAAGCTCAGATCAGGGGGTGTCTGGGTGGCTCACTCGGTATCCAACTTAGTTTCAGGTCAATGATCTTACGGTTCATGAGTTTGAGCCCTGCATCAGGCTCTGTCCTGATGGTCTGGAGCTTGCTTGAGATTTTCTCTCTCTCTCTCTCCCTCTATCTGCCCCTTCCCTACTTATTCGCTCTCTCTCTCTCTAAAAAAGAAACTTGTTTTTAAAAAGTCCAGATGGTAGTTTCTTAAATGCCACTTGATCAAATGTATACTAAGTCATGACCTGGAAATTAAATGACTTGACCAAGGTCACATATCCAGCCAGCGGCAAAGCTGAAACTGTCATCTGAGTCACGAGGCACACTCCTCCCAGGCCACCAGGACAGGGCAGGGCACACTTTGTCACACTTGTGGAGCCCTCCCAGAGTGTCCCAGGGATGGCTCTGACATGAGACACAACTGAGCGGCTCCAGAAAGCTGGTTCTAAGAAGCCACCTAACCTGAAATTCTCCCCCATCACTTGGCCCCGCCATGATGTGCTGTGACATGAATGCAAGATAACAGGCCCAAAAGGGGAAAGTCCTTCCAGCGGCAAAGGGCCACCCAACAGCTGGTTAATGAGGAGGTTAAAGCCTCCTGAGAGACCTACAGGGACAATCCATCCTCAGGAGGGGTGAAGGAAACCATATGACCATGACCATCAGGTCTCCCTGAGACAAACCTAAGGTCTAAGGCACAGTCTGATGACAGGCAGCACAGCATGGGCTTCCACACTGTCTCAGAAGTCTGCAGAATTTTAGCTTTGGGTGACACTTGGAGCCACAGCCCAGAGACCTGCTCCCATGGAGGCATCTGGCCTCCTCTGTCCTTTTTGTCATCCAGAATCTTGGGATGCATGCGCTAAGCCAGTGTAAAAAAAGGGTTCCCTGTCATTTGTTTTCTCATTTTGCTGGAAAGCAAAATTACCATGGGAACTGCTAACGTTTTACAGTGTATTGTAACTTTCAAAGTGCTTGCATTCAGTTCTCCTAGTATCCCTATTTTCTATTCACTCATCAGTAAATACATGTTGAATAATGACTGAGTACCAGATACCATTCTAGGTACTAGGGATACAGTGATGAACAAGGCAGGGAAAAAATTTCCATCCCATTTTACAGATGAGAAGACTGAGGCTCATGGCAGCTAAGTGCTTGGTCCAAAGGCATATTCCTAATAAGTGGCAGATGGAAAACTAAATTCAGATCTTCTCTTTTTAAAAAATTTTTAGTGTTTATTTATTTTTGAGAGAGAGAGCGTGAGCATGAGAGGGGTTAGAGAGAGAAAGAGGAGAAACATAATCGGAAGCAGGCTCTAGGCTCTGAGCTGTCAGCACAGAGCGTGACGCAGGGCTCGAACTCACAAACTGTGAGATGACCTGAGCTGAAGTCGGATGCTCAACTGACTGAGTCGCCCAGGTGCCCCTAAATTCAGATCTTCTAAAGCTGAGGTCAGTTTTCCCCCCACTACCTTTCACCATCATATTAACCTTCTGCTGGTTCTTTATATACATCGTGCAGGAAAATAAACCTTTCTGTGCTTTGGGATTTGGAATTTTATTATCAGTGGCCAGCCGGCACTTCTGACCTCAAACATGGCTCTGTTCTTACAGAAGGTACAGAAACTCCCCAAGCCACTAAGCCAGGCTTCGTGGGTGCCCTGGAGTCCCCCAGATCTGCTGAGGGGAGACTGGCTCAGAGGGGAGCAGCATTAAGGCTCCTACGATGTGAATCTGCTAAGCTTTCAACCAAACTCAAAAGAACCCAGAATAACCAGTTTTCTCTCAATTGTAGGTGTCCTTCTGAATGGGTCGCTCCAGCTTTACCGTCAGTCACTTCAATCACATGATCTCAGCCACATCTGGCTGAGGGCAGAACCTATAAGTGGAGCGCCTTTCTACTGAAAGAGAAAGAGAACTCGTACTTTTGGAGCATGGGCTGGATCCAGATGCTCCGGAAGGTTGTGAGGTCAAAACTGTAGGGTAGGAGAAGGGATGGATATGGTGCTATATGAATTCAGAATGAAATTGAAGGGGATGCTATTTCGCATGGGGCCCTCAGCTCTGTGATTGGCTGGCTGTTCCCTGAACAGCACCAGGGACTGTATTTACTTAAGCAGTCGCGTCTAAGGCGAGTTAAGTGTTACCTGCACCGACAGAGATGCCACATGTCATTACATTTGAATTAGCCAGATGAGACGGTCTCAGCTGACCCAACTTGGCATCTCAAGCTTAGCACGTTGGGAGAAGAGGAGGAAACACACACACACATACACCCCAGGTCGTCTGCATCTCCCCAGCGATCTGCCACTAGTTAAATTCGGTCCAACACCCCATTTTCCTAGAATTTCTTCCCAATTTTCTGTTTCCCGGGCTAAAGTCCATAGCCTAAAGCAATGAGAGAAATGGGATGGGAAACAGCCTTCTAATATTTAAAATGGAAACATTTAAAAATTTTCTCCCCTCTGGTTTATTCATCCTGTGCGTTGAGTATCTGCGGGCTTTCTCAGATCGGGGGGTCTCTTGGTGATGTGCTGGTTTGGCAACTATATCTGAAAAAAATAAGCCCTGATTCATGGTGTCTGCCGGTTTCTCTGGTGTGAACATGCCCACTGCGACTCATGTCACGTTACCAGTGTGACGTCACTAAACACAGGGTTGGGAAAAGATGCACCTAATCAGCTCTCCTAAGCTCCGGCCCACTGCAGGACTCCGAATTTCACAGTCTCAAAGAGCTAAGGTACCTCTCTACTCTTTCCCTCTCCAATTCTTCACATCAGTGAGGCTTTGCCAAGTGCCAACTTCCACCGAGGAAATGGCTTCCAAAGGTCAGAGCCAGAGCACTAAAGCCAGTCGCCGCCACTACATGGCTAACTGAGGCACCAGCTGACTCATCAGAATATTAATATTATGAAATCCGCCTTCTCAATACGATGAATTAAAGGTCTTTGGCATCTCCCTCTTTATCTCTCAAATTCTGACTCTTGTATCTCCCTCCAGCTCTCAGACTTGCACGGTACCTGGTACATCCTGGAAGGGACGGAGAAAGAGGAAAAGAGAACGCGAGAACAAGTTATTTCAAAAGAAGGATCTGTAATGAGTGCCCTGAGAAGAGAAGTGTGGAAGGAGACAGAACAGTCAGATGCTGTTCTTTGGTTCTGAGCATTAACTGGGAGGGATAAAGAACACAGTCCTGCTCTTGGATTATAATCTCTTGCAAGCCCCCTGCTTTGAAATGATTTCTTGAAAACATCTCTCTAACGTTTTTAGCGTCAGCAGAAGCCAGCTAAAATTTCCCTGATTTACTACCTAAAAACCCAAGAGGAGGTAATTACGCTTCCTGCTGACAAAATATAAAATGTTAAACATGCCCAATTACAGAGAAGCATTGGAATGTTGAATAGAAGAAAAGAATCTGTGACAGCTCTAACAGTCGCAGTAGGAAACGCAGCTCCCTTACCCCTGGAAGATAAAAATGAATGCCTTCCGGAAAGCCCTTCATCTTCTCTAAGATCTTTTCAATTAATTTAACCATGAATAATTTTCTTTTAAAATTACTTGAAAATGTTCCAGATTAAATATAAGAAGGATATTTCACAGCCCCTTTTCAGAACTGTACCAGGCTGTGTACTTCAGTCTAGGAAATGGCGTTCCTTTAGATTAGTGTCCTGACCTCACACAGCCCTGTCTTCTAAGCACAGCTGGGGGGTAGGGGACGGGTGCCTGAGACTTCAGGAGCAAAGGGGGGCAGTACAGGCCTTCCTCAGCTCAAAGGCCTGAAGGCCACTCCTTCAAAGGCTCCTGCTCACTAAAGAACATCGCAGAGCATTCTAAGCCCTTTAAGTAGGGCTGTAAGTGCCTACGTGGACCCCTGTGGTCCAGCACAGAGTGTTCTCAAGAGGCTGCTGAGCTGCCAGTGTTAGGGGCAAGCTAGGTGGGAGTCCATAAGGGAGGATGCAGACAACAGAAAGAGGAAGGACGAGCCCCAGAGCTGATGGACTGAAAAGAGCGCAGGAGTGGGGCGTTCACGAGACCAAGCATCCAGAGCTGAGAGATAAAGTGAAGAGGAAGCAGCTGGGGTCAAGAAGGAGCATGCCCTGGGAGGTTGGCTGGAGAGATGAGGCTCGCTGTGGGCGGCCAGCAGAGGTGCGAAGAGAGGGTAGCCAGTCTTGTTCACTGGAGGAGCGGGGGCGGAGGAGAGACGGAAACATATAATCTACAACAGGGTGCTGTTTCGTGGCTCTCTGTATGTGCGCCTGCTGGCTCTCTACCCAGAATGTCATTCCTGCTTTTCATACCCCACAAACTCTTCCTCTTCCGACAATGCCCGGTGCTCAAGAGATCCTTCCTCTGTGAAGCTTGCTCCCTCATCATCTCCTCCAAGGCACCTGTCACCTTGCATACATTTCCTCTCTAATACCCAATAAGCATGATAGTTGGAACACAGTAGGTGCTTAATACGTGCTTGTTGAATGAAGAAATGAGTGAATGAAAAGCTAATCAGGTCCTGCTAGAAGGATCTATAGATATTGGCAGTAGCTTAAAAAGTAAGGCCAACAGGTCAAGAGAGGTGCTCGGCTTTTCCCAAGTCATCTAAGAAAGCGTCCCTAGCTAGATGCCATCATTGTCTGCTATTCCTGAAACAGTAAGAGGAGAATAAACATGCTTGGCTGAAAAGGGAATGAAATTGAACAGCTTCCAGATTTCCTGGTAGCAGTCAAAGATGTGACACCAATATCATCGTTTTCAGCCAATGGAACCCCTAAAAAATACCACTGAAACTACTAGAATAAGATGTCTTCATTGTTTTCCAGGCTGAGGATCAGTCCTACCTGACACATTCATAAGCCCACCTTAAAAATTCAGATACAACAGGTTTGGGTCAAGGCACCTGTATTTTTCAAAAACTCCCCCAAGCGCTTCTGATAACGAACTGAATTAGAAAACACTAATAGTTGTGTCTAAGCCACTGCTGCTGTGACTTGTAGTATATGTGACCGAACATTACCAGAGAGTGGGGCTGCTGTCTGCCTGGCAGACCAGAGACAGTCTTAACAAAAGAAAAGTTAAACTTACTGTCTGTTTACTTGGATTATCTCACTTAATCTTCCCAAAAGCATACAAAGTGGGAGCTGACATTCTGTATGGCACAGATGCGGGAGCTTACAGAGGCTAAGTAACTGATCAGCCGGAATTCAAAACCTTGGCAGTTGATTCCAGAGGCTGTTTTTAAACACTGGGCAGTACAATACCTTTGCTGAACACGGGCAGAAAGCAACTCCCTGAAACACAGTCTTGAAGAAGTGGTCAGTGCACTCGAAGTTGCCTCAATCGGCATTACCTCCGAGCTGTTCTGTCCTCAACCTTATCAGAACTGATTGTTTTGATCAATCTTGGGCATTCCTGCATCTGTCTCACTGTGTGCTACATATGTTTGCCTCCTCATATGTATAGCACCATGCCCAGCCCACAATATCAACTCAATAAATATTTGTTGAATTTAAAACAATTTGATTCCACGGATGTCGTAATTAAATTTGATTCCGTGATGTGACTAGAGCCAAGAATTTCCCTTCATCAAAGCTCTTTGTGCTACGTTGGCCACGAACTTGACTCGGCTATAGAAAGAGAAGAACAGGGACACAGTGTGTGCCCACTGGTTGAGCTGTCGAGGAGCACACACATGTTCTGCCAGCATGACTGGGTCGCAGACAAACCTGGAAGGATCCGGGGTGCCAGTGAAGTAGTGAATGCACGGCGAGCTTCTGTTCTGAGGCAGAACAGACACGACGCTGGCCGTGGTAAGGAAGGACTCAGAGTCTATACAGACTCCACCGGCTTTGTCCCGTAAGATGTCAATCATGGTCTGCACAGTGATGCTTTCTGTAAGGGAAAAAGAGAGAGAAAGAAGCTATAACAGTAGCAGGTTGTTAACCAAAATCCATTCATTCCTTTTCCTTTTCAGCAACAGAACCCTGGATTGTAACTGCTACAGACTATACTTCCCAGCTTCCCCTGTGGCTAGGTGTGGTCACATGATAAATCCTGACCAGTGGGAGACAGAATGTTATGTACAAACTCTTCTCTCATCCATAAAAAGGATGGTTTGCCTTTCACTTTGTTTCCCCATCTTTCTTTTTAAAAACTTTTTTTTAATGTTTTATTTATTTCTGAGAGAGAGACAGCATGAGCAGGGGAGGGTCAGAGAGAGAGGGAGACACAGAATCTGAAATAGGCTCCAGGCACTGAGCTGTCAGCACAGAGCCCAACATGGGGCTCGAACCCATAGACTGGGAGATCATGACCTGAGCAGAAGTCGGACACTTAACAGACTGAGCCACCCAGGCGCCCCTGTTTCCCCCTCTTTCTGCTGCTAGGACATGCCCACAGGTGGCCACAGGTGCAAGTCAAATGTTGAGTATGGCTGTCCTCTGGTGCAGACTAACCCGCCAGCCCTGGACTGGCCACATACATCTAGACTATAACATGGGAGAAAAATAAGCTTCCATTTTCTTTCTTTCTTTCTTTCTTTCTTTCTTTCTTTCTTTCTTTCTTTCTTTCTTTCTTTCTTTCTTTTTCTTTCTTTCTTTCTTTCTTTCTTTACAAATAGTTTATTGTCAAATTAGTTTCCGCATAACACTCAGTAAGCTTCCATTTTCTTAAAATCATATTATTTTGTGGTCTCTTTGTTGTAGCACTTAGCAATTTCTCAACTAGTACAGTAGGCAATAGAGCGATATCCATAGGAAAGTATGTGCAATCTATTCACAATCCACTAAGCAAGCTCTCTCATACACACTTGTTGGTTACAGTCAATACTGTATTTGGGGAATAGGGCGCCTGGGTGGCTCAGTGGGCTAAAGCATCTGACTTTGGCTCAGGTCATGATCTCATGGTTGGTGGGTTCGAGCCCTGCGTTGGGCTCTGTGCTGACAGCTCAGAGCCTGGAGCCTGCTTCAGATTCTGTGTCTCCCTCTTTCTCTGTCCCTCCCCCACTTGTACTCTGTCTCTCTCTGTCTCAAAAATAAGTAAACTATAAAATATACATATATATTTGGAGAATGACCTCTCTGAAGTGGGAGAGAGCCACACAGAGAAATATTGAAAACATTCAGGGTCATTATGACTACCGACTCTGACTTCAGTTACATGTGTAAACAATTCCTTGACTATCAACGACCCCAGCTTTACATTTTCTCCTCTGATCATAATTCATTAAAACACTATTCTCTCGGTCTATGTTCACATCGATGGAATCAAAGCATCACAGAAAGACAAGGTGCCTTAAACTTCACTAACACAACTCTCATCCACTTTGTAAATTTCTATTTGTCATGTGTCATACCTAAAAGGATTCATAAGCCTTGATCTCTTCAACTACCCAGTGTCCAAAAGTCTCCACTGTCTTACAAATGAGTTTATTGATTTAAGTTGGGACCCAAAAGGTTGCTCATGTCTGAAATCTCTTTTAATCCCTGCGTCTCACTGTATCCCCTTGCATTTTATTTGTTGGTCATTTCTCCTGTAGAGTTTTCCACAGTCTGAACTTTGCACTTGCCATCCCAACTTTCTTGTAAAGAACCAGATAGTAACTATTTCAGGCTTACGGGCCACACCATCTCTGCTGTAACTTACCTATTGCAACTGTGCAACCGTGCCAGTGGGACATGGAGGCAGTCATAGCCACTACCTAGATAAATGCACCTGGCTGTGTTCCAATAAAGTTTTATTCACCGAATAGGGGGCTGCCGACAGGTCTTAGTCTGCCAACCCCTGTACTAAATGATCACAGGTTTAACTTACAAAATGTGTGTATCATTGGCAACTATAAAATGGGGCCTCAGTGGTTTACTTGGAAGGGTGTCCACTCGGGCACAAAAGTAATAAGCTACCAAGTCACCACATTTACCTAAATATGGGATCTGATTAAGTCAAGCACTGGGTGCAAGACAGAGGGTTTAGGAAAAGAATTCAGGACAATAGTTCCAACTCAACAAATGTTCGCAGAGCAAAAGACTGTAAGAGACACCATGAGGGAATCCCAATCTGAGTGAGAGATAGCACCCTGCCCTCCAGGCTCAGCAGGCTACTGAGAAAGGAAAATATAGGAAGACAAGACAATGAGTGAAATACAAAAACGTTGGGGTGCGTGGGTGGCCCAGTCAGTTGAGCATCTGACTTTGGCTCAGGTCATGATCTCACAGTTTGTGGGTTCGAGCCCCGCGTCAGGCTCTGTGCTGGCAGCTCAGAGCCTGGAGCCTACTTCGGATTCTGTGTCTCCCCATCTCTCTGCCCCTCCCATGATCATGCTCTGTCTCTCTTTGTCTCTCACTGATAAATAAATGTTAAAAAAAAATGTTTTACATTAAAAAAATAAATACACAAACGTGGAGGTAGAAGGAAGGTATCACAAAGACGAGTACAATGACATCATTTAAAAGAGAAATAACATCAAGAGGAGGAAAAGCCCTCATGGACAAGGAAGCATCTTGTAACAACAGATACATGTCATCCTGCCTGCACATCAGGGGCATCAACGCAAGTTGGTCTCTATGTACCAGGTCTATCCTCATCTCCTCTTTGCTCACCCTCCGAAGTTCAGACAAGTTCTCTGAAATAGCTGCAAGACAACAGGTATGAGAGAGAGAATCATAAGGGATATACTAACTCACCTTCTTTCTTTTCTAAGCTGTCTTTGCCTGCACAGCAGTCTAGGTGGTCATCAGCTGGCGAAAAAACTTCAGAAAAATTGAACTCGTCCTCTCCCGTCCACCAGCCTTGACTCTGAGCATAACTCCTGAGTTCGGGATGCTCCGCGTCAATCTTAGTGGTGAGTGAAAGCTGATTGCAAATACACTTCACTCCCTCTGTGGAGAGTACAAAGCCCAGTTAGTTGGAAATATACTTAGACTGAATCAAGAAATGGAAATTTACAGCGAGTCCCGTCTCCGCAATTCAACTTCACAGAGAGGAATCAACTGTATTTTTGAAGAGAGAAACACAGTCCTTGGTCCTCTTCTAAGAAGACCTCCCAGAAGGTCTGACCAGTCCTGACCAGGCACTACCACATTTTAAATGAGCAATGGTCACTTGATCTAAAATTCACATTCAAAAGAAAACATGCAAAGCCCTCGTTATGGCTAAATAAACCCCGAGCTTCTACTAATTATAGAAAAAAATGAAAGGTTTCTTGAAGGAGACACGACACTACTTACAAGACTTAGGAACATCACAACTATAGCACTGTTTCCTCCCCAATTTAGTTTTCCTCTACTTGAAGGGACATTTTACGCCACCACCCTCTGCCCAAATACATCATTTTTGGAAAATACAAATACGGGACTTCTTCATTCAGCTGTTTTTTTTTTTCAGGTCCCAACATTTAGAAAAACCCAGTGGCACTGATAATGAACTGTTTTAAAATAATGGAATGTACCTGTGAATGTATATCTCTGAGTATATTGGTATGACTGTGTGTGTATACATGTGTGTATATGTATATGACTGTGGACATTCTGTGGGAATTTTTTTTTTTCTCATAAAAATGTAAGTGCAGTTAAAAGAGTCTAGAATCAGGAACACTCTGAGGACACTCCAGCTTAATGAATGAGGGTTTGCCCAGAAATTCCCCTCTGCTGACAGGCTTGCTATGGCTTCTTCCGAAGTCTCAGCTGCAAATACGCTGGGGACAGCTTGGCCTTGATTCTCCAAGATGTTGTCTAGGATACTAAGAAGATATGTTCTATAAGCTGTAGCTCAAAAAGGCCATCCATACTTGCTGCTTCCAGAGAGCATGTTGATCTTCCAAATTCTTGGAGAATGAAATAAACAGAGAGATCAAACCACAAGCTGCAATAAAGCCATGATGGCCTAAAACCCAGTTCTTGGAGACAAGGTCAGTGCTGGATTGAGTTCTTCTGGGATGTTCTGCTCCACTGATTTGTTCTTCCAAAATAAGTATCACTAGCTGATGGGCGTTGGCCTTCTGTCATTCATCTTTTCAGAGGACAAGAATAAAACTACTTAAAAATTTTAAAAATAAAAAGGAGCTTTGGCCTAAGTAAGAGATTTTGGCATTCTTCATACCAAGCTATTAAAAAACAAACAAACAAACAAACAAACAAACAAACAAAACACAACCTTGTGAACACCACCACAGACAGGGCTGATTTATAATGTATGTTTGCTTTCAGGGCACGCAGGTGGCTCAGTAGGTTAAGCGTCCAGCTCTTGATTTCGGCTCAGGCCATGATCTCATGTTTCATGATCAAGTCCCGTGTCAGGCTCTGTGCTGACTGTGTGGAGGCCGCTTGGGATTCTCTCTCTCCCTCTCTCCAACCCTTCCCCATTCATACTCTCTGTCCCTCTCTCTCCTTCAAAAATAAGCAAATAAACATTAAAAACAATAGATGTTTGCTTCCTAGAATGTTGGCATTCGGGACCCAGTTTCATGAAGTCTTATTGCAATCCCACTGCTGCTGGGACCAGAGGACAGGAGATCAATGAGTCCAAGGAATGGCTGAGATTTTATTTCAATGTTTGGTGAAAGACAACATGCATTTTGAGGAGCTGGGGTTTTTAAGCTGTATCTTGAAGAGAAACTAGGCTTTGAAATGCAAGTATAGATCAAAAAGTTTTAAGCTCTATTTAAAAGCAATATATGACTGCTTTTTCAGCATGAACCACTTTCACGATGGAAACACTGGATAGTAAGGCTTTGTCTTAAGAGGACTTTTTTGATTAAAAAAAGTTTAAAGTTCGTGCACTGTAGCAGGCTCGGTGGTCCAGCAGCCGCACCGGCTGCCTCAGTTCTGTAAGTGCCACAGCAGTGGGGCGCAAGGACCAGTGGGTACATTCTGGGCATGTGGGGGTGGAGAAACTCTCTAAGATTGTTGCAAGGGTGCCACTAGCCCACCCGGGGCCCTTGTGAGGATGCGAAGAAGCCGCCCTCCTCCAGGCAAGCGCCACAAGCCAGCCACGTTGAGCACATAACACACCCATTGTCCACAGTGCATGACTGCACTGGCTTAGGCCACAGAAAACCACAGGCTTGATTTCCAACTATTGCAGCAGATCCTCTGCTTCTAACTCAGGTCAGCTTTGGTTCTAATCACCCCTAAGGCAGGTATGAAAACAGGTTTCATCCCTATCATCAAGTCTGAGGCACTGGAAGAAAATTCCTGACAAATTCAGTTAAGGCCAAGTTTAGGCTCAACACGAGAAGAGTGTGGCGATCCACTAGGCACGTCTGCCGCGAGCACAGGAGGGGAGAAACGGCGGCACACAGTCTATGTACACGTCATCCAGTCCTGAGGAACATCCGTGGGCCAGTTCTCTCCTAGAACTCCTTCGTTCTCTTGGAAACCCTTGATCCCATTCTGGGACCTCACCCGTCTGCAGTATGAGGGTGCTAAGTGAGGAGACGGGACAACCACAGCCCCCTTCTACCATCTCCTTCCTCGGAGCTGTCTCAGAACGAAATGCTGCAGGGAGCACAGAGCAACAACTGTATGGGCGCGAAATCCTTCCGGGTGGATTCCTTAATCCTCTGCTCTTCTAAAAACACTGTCTCAGGGAGAAATGAGCTTGTCAGCCCAGAGGTAGTCCATGGTCCTCACACAGATCCAAAGTCCTCTTTTAGAGGGACATTCCAAGTATGAGGAGCTACAGGGCTGGGGGTGATGAGGGGTAGCCCCCTGTGGAGGGGGTTCATTCAATTCCTCGAATGGGATAATCGCCACAGCCTTGGCCACATCACAGATCTAACCATTTGGATCACAAAACTGCCAGGAGCCACAACTGGGTCCTGCCCAGAAAGCAAGAGGAAAATAAGAAATGTCAGGAGCGTGTTTCCCAAGGGCTGACATCCCCGCAGCCCAGGTTCCTCTCTAGAAGCGGAGCCCAGAAGCGGGGATCTGGCCCAGAGACGGTCTGCACCAGCCAGGTGACGCCTGTGCGTCCAGGCAGCATCCCCCTCAGCACCTGCTGTCCTTGAGGCCCCGTCCCGTCCACACCGCTCACCTGTGATCTGCTCGGCGGCCCAGTACTTCCCCATGGTCTCCAGCACCCAGGCCTCCGCGCGGTCCACGATCAGATACGCGCTCTGGAAGCTGTGGCAGGCGTGTGCATCCTCATAGTAATTCCCACCCTGTCCGTGTTCCTCCAACAAGGCGACGATGACGTCCAGGGCTTCTTTGGCCGTTGTGCCTCTTTCCAAACCAAGCCTGAAGTAAGGAAGCCGGAAGTCTACCTGAGTCATTGCGTACCCGGTGGTTTTCACCACAGTAACCGACGCCTGGGACGGAGCTGAGTTGCGTAGCATGACGACACATGTAAATACAGGAATACGCAGGCCGATAAACAGATTCACGGCACTTGAGCTCGAATACATCTCTCACGTGCTCAGTTCAGAATCACGGGGGTGTTTTCTGTCTTTGGGCAACCCCCTTCCTACACAGACAGAAGACTCAGGAACCCAGTGGCTTCTGCCTCGTGAAAGCCAACTCAGCCATCTCTCTGTTTTCTAACTCTGACTCCCAGGGAGCTGGCCAGCTCAGCCCGAGCCTTGTCAGGACCCCTTTTCTGTGGCTTATTCTCCCTCCTGCCTCCGCAGAAAAGGAAATCTCTGCCCAGTGCAGCCTTGACCTCTGTCACTCTACCCGGGCATTTCGGTCAGAAATAAAAGGTTCCATAGCTAGCCCTTGTCCTCGGTACGTATAATTTACTCCCACATCTCCCTGGGAACTGGTGCCTGGGTAGGACATGCTCCATCCTCTTCTACATATCTCTCCTCCTACCTATCAGCCCGCCTCTACTGGTGTGACTTAGAGCATCGCTTATCAAAAAGTACCTCTTTCTTCTGAAATGAAATAGCAATCTGCTCCCAGCCCTTCCAATTTGTTGGCCTCCTACCGAGGGTGCAGATTTGGCCCTCTGTGTGACCTTGGGCAAGTTGCATAGTATGTTTGAACTCAGTTTTGTATCACCTGTAAAACAGGTACCTAATCATGCGGCTGCTATGAGGACAGGTTATGAGATAATGACTGTGAAAATATAAGCACAAATGCCCAGGACCAAGGAGGTGGTCAGTGGGTGTGACAGGCAGCACACTGTGACAGAAAAACAATGGCTCCGAGATCAAGGGACCTGGCTCCCAATTCCATGTGTGCCACCTACTGGCAGTATGACCTTCAGTAACATGACCTCTCTGAACTGTGATTTTCTCCTTTGTAAAGTCAAAATGGTACTACATCCCTCGCAGGCTGATTTGAAAGAGGATGGCACTTGCTATGGACTCAGTAAATGTCCACTGATTCATCACTTGCTTCGAATTATCATTCTGGCGGCAGGAACACAAGAGCCTCAGAACAGAGACCATGGGGCCGGCTAAGATGGTAGCATAAGCCAGTTCTGCACAAATTTTCAGTAGGAGAGCAGTCATCTATCTCTACAATTTACCCAGCTTGACTCTTTCTGAAGGAACCTTCACTGTACAGCCAGGGAGAAGAAAAGATAATGCTACAGACTTACTCTCTCTCTCTCTTCTAAGTTTATGTATTTATTTTGAGAGAGGCAGAGAGAATGCGAACAGGGAAGGGCCAGAGAGACAGGGAGAAACCAGGCTTTTGGCGAAGAGCCTGATATGGGGCTCAAACTCTCGAAATCTCGACATCATGCCCTGAGCCAAAATCAAGAGTCGGTTGCCTCACTGTCTGAGCCATCCAGGTGCCCCTATAGACTTACTACTCTTGTCACAGGCTTATTTTTGTAGTCCGATAATTACATATCAATTTATTGGGCATTTCTCAGTTTTAGCTTATTCACCAAGGCACTGGTTTGCAAAGCTGAACCCTAAGACCCTAGCAGAGTGATACAAAATAAACTCGGTAGAAAGTTGGGTTAAGTAGACTTTCCTGTCAGTCAGTGTCATCTTCTCCAAAAAGGACTGGCAGGAGCAAGCTCTCATCTGATCTTGAGGATCCAGAGCAAACAAGCATGCCATGTGCACCTCTCTAGGTCTGCCCGAGCTGTATCCCGAGGAGGGCCCCCTTCTCCCTTCCACAGGCGCCTGGCAGCCTCTGGTCACCTCGCCTCGTGCACACATTCCAGGGAGAAGCCTGTCCCAGGGTCTCCGCGGGGCTCCAATCTGCCGACGCAAGCACGGGCTAGGAGCCTGTGAATACCTAGGCGGGGGCACCCCACCTTCACGAGCTGTGACTTCTCCTTCGCAGTCTCTAGCTCACTCTCCTGCCGTCCTGCCCGCTGCGCTCCACACTGAGGTGCCCAGTACACGCCCTTGCGCTCCCGCGTGGGACTTCAGTGCCCTCTGCGCACGGCGTCTGCAGCGGGACCTCAGCACTCATCCACAGACACAACTCTGATCAGACCCTCCTACCCTCTGAGCCAGGACCATGGAAAACGATACACATGGCCACTCCCTCTTAGCTGCCGTGCCACGGGCCGAGGACAGGACAGCCTGACCACTCTACCAGGATGCAAACAGCGGCAGACCGAGGGGGCAGGTGCGCCCGGGCTACGGTGGTCTAGGGCCTCAAGGTACCGATATCAGGAGACCTGTTCCGAAGCCTTTCACAGCGGTCTGGCCCCACGAATGGGGCAAATTCACGTGACTCAAAACAAGCACAGCATCTTTCTGGTCCCATGGCTACTTTCCCTTTGGCTGCCTCACCGCACTAGGGGCACGACCAGGGCAGGAAAGGGGATGGAATTACCTGAACCAGGGTTAGAGTCTCACTCTGACCTCTACCTGCAGTGCAGTTCAAATCCTTTGACTGTATGAGCTCGGTCCAGAGTTTTCTGGATCTTGGAGTTAGACACCCCCACGTTCAAACTCTTGTTTTATGAAAAATCCTTGTTAGAATCCCTATTTGCAGCCCGTGACTCTCACACAGGTATGTTAGGCCCACAGTGCCCATTCCTGGAAGGTAACAGACTTATCCGTCGGTTGGCGGAAGCTACGGACCACAGGGGCCTTTGTGTAAATGTACACTTTCTCCCCGCAAGGCCTCCCCTCATTGCCTGGTATGAGATGTCGGCTCTGGGAGGCCCTTTAGAGGTCATCAGATCTAAGGGCTCCCCTCGAAGAAATGCAGAGACTGTGGCCCAGAGAGGTACTGTAACTCGGTGTACTCACACTGAAAACCAAGGCCCCTGGCTCCCAGCCCCAACATTCTTTCAACTCAGTCATGATTCTGTTGCGATTCACTATCTCAGAAAAAAAGAGAGCCGGTTCAGAATGTCATTTCGGTCCCACCCACCCTCTCCTTTGGTGGTTCCTTCAAAACTCAGTCATTGATCAGCCACCGCAGGCCAGGCACGCAAGTCCCGGTGCTCGTGACACGGGAGTGACCGAGCGGAGGCCCCCATCCCACTAAGCCCACGACAGGCCTGCTGCCTCCTACTAGGTAGTGGCTGGCAGAGCAGGTAAAGGGAAGAGGAGCACGGAGATGAAGAAGCCACAGGAGGGACATACTTCTCTTCTTTCTTCCTTGATATGTTATGTATTTGATATGTAACCTTCCCTCTTTCATATATTTTAGATAGATTTCAAACCATAAACCGCCCACTTAAAATATACCATTCAGTGATTTTTAGTATATTCACACAACTACCACTACAATCTAACTGGGACTTTTTCTTTTTCTTTTTTTTAACATTTATTTATTTTTGAGAGACAGAAAGAGACAGAGCGTGAGCAGGAGAGGGGCAGAGAGAGGGAGACACAGAATCTGAAGCAGGCTCCAGGCTCTGAGCTGGCTGTCAGCACAGAGCCCGATGCAGGGCTTGAACTCATGGACAGTGAGATCATGACCTGAGCCTAAGTTGGACGCTTAACCTACTGAGCCACCCAGGCACCCCTAAGTGGGACATTTTCAACACACCAAAAAGAAGTCTCATACCCATAAGGAATCACTCCCCATTTTCCCACCCCAGCCCCAGACAATCACTAATCTACTTTCTGCTTCTATGGATTTGCCTCTTCTGGATGTTTCATGTAAATACAATCATGCAATATGTGACCATTGGTGTCTGGCTTCGTTCACTTAGCATGATGTCTTCAAAACCCACCATGTTGAGGCACGTGTAAGCACTTGGTCATTTTTTATTGCTTAATGATATTCCACCGTAATCTACTCTTTTTTCCTATCACCTCAAACTTATCAAAAAGACACACGTCTACTTTGGGAGGGCTGTGTTACAAACTATGAGGTTTGGAGGGAAACCAATCCCGTTCCCAGTCCCCCACCTATTCTGAGCAGTTGTTTCAAAGAATGACTGCAGTCAGTACCTGACCAGATCCATCCCCAGTAAGGCTTCGGTCTCAGCGGCTGGTTCTCTGGCATTGATGGCTTCATTGGCTATGCACACGCCATGCTCATTGGCTCCCATTTCTGCCCCCCAAAGCCAGGCAGGTCTGCTTATCACAATGGCATGGGTCCTGGGGACTTGGTCAATTGAAATATAAGTGCACTGGAAAACAAAGACACGAAAGAAAGGACCATCACCTGTCAGGAACCACTTAGTTTCCACCTTGGTACTTAAAATGAACCACTACATCAGTTACATACAGAGCCAGGAAATGAAAGGCCTTGGGAACAGCAGACTTCAAAGATTCCCCAAGTCTCAATGCAGCTCAGAGGTCTCTGGTGCGTTTCAGTTTTGCCAATCAGGTTTCAGTCTCTGGTTCAAGCCCAATTTAATATTTATTTTTGAGGGAGAGACAGAGAGAGAGGGAGAGAGAGAGAGAACATGCGTAGAGGAGGAGCAGAGAGAGAGGGAGACACAGAACCCGAAGCAAGCTCCAGGCTCTGAGCTGTTGGCACAGAACCCGACGCGGGGCTTGAACTCACGAACCATGAGATCATGACTCAAGCAAAGTCAGACGCCCAACCGACAGGGCCACCCAGGCGCCCCAAGGCTGCTGTGTCTTTACCTGGAAAATAAGCTAGTGGATTGAGATCAAGTGATTTTTTTTTTTTTTAAAATATTTTTAGCCTCGGCACCCTGCCTTCACACAAACTCTTACACAGAAGCAGGAAGAGAGTAAAAGCGGTCATAGCATGTTGAGGCGAATGGAAGATGGGCGGTGGGCCCAGCTAACGCAAAGCCCGGCCTGCTCCTTCTACCCCTTCCCTCCCCACGCTGGGCCCATGGGACAGACAGCTCCCTTGGAGAAATGCGAAGAGCACTACCCTGGGTTACCCATAAGGGGCCTGCTGACTCTGGCATTCTATCAGCCCAGGACACGCACTGTATGGTGGCTGCAGCGTGAAACCCAGGGCCCGAAATTGCACAGCACTCTTTAGCTCTCAGGGGAGAATTTCATCAGCTACATCTACCACTTACATTTTCAATTGGGCCCTGAAAGCATCGGCTCAACTATGGCCTCAGATCCTTTTCTGACTCGAGACCCAATTGTATCGACTGAACGCACCCAGGAAGTTATTCCACACTGATTTTCCATAATGTCTCAGCCTCGGGTAAGAGCCAGAACGCGGGTAGCACGCGTACTCGTTGATCAGGGGACACGTGCATCTTCATCATCCCTGGAAGGTGTTGCTTTGCACTGAGATGAGGTTATTTCACTTGATAAAAAGTGGTAAAACTGACAGCTAATTAAATCCAGAAGTTGTCAAAAGGCTCTTGAGTTTTCCATGGCAAATTGATAACAAAATGCGCTCTTGAAATGTTTTACCCAGTCCCCGAAAGTTGTTTGCTTTGAAGAATGATTCTTTTAGAGCAAACACGTAGCCAGCATCGTGAACAAACTATGATCCTCGGTGCTCTTCTAAATGTACTTGCAGTTTATATCTTAAAATTGTGTTCTTTCGTGTAAAAAGCAGTTCAGGCACTGACCAACATTTTCCAAAACCCCCTTGTACACTGAGCGCCAGTGACAAATTCTGTCTTGAGAAGAATGAATAAACAGGGAAGGAATTTAAGATTCTTAAGCACAGATGTATCAGAAAGTTATTTTTAAGGGCAGGAAGAGAGCAAAAATAAGAAGGGGCTTATTTATCTGTTCTCAAATTCTTTTTTACACATTCGTTTCCATTCCACCAATTATTTACAGAGCCACCAGCCACACACAAGGCATTTTGTGGCAAGTGCTGTTTGTAGATAAATCAGGAAGGATGCCCAATCCCTGTCCTTTCTGCTGGGAAAGAAGAAGGCACACATCCAAATGACCATGACCACCAGGCCACCCTCAGCAGGTGTCCCTGAGGCCTGTCAGGTTTATATGTAATCCATCTTTCCCCCTCCTCAACCTTGTACATCTGAGTAATCCATGCCTGCTTTTTTCTTTCACATTCCGTTCCATTTATCCCCTTCCAAAATACTGTATAATTGACTTATGTACTGTGTATACTCTTTATGTATATTATTTCCCCCAGCCACAAGGTAAGCTCCAGAGGAGCAAGGAGAGTATTTGTGGTTTAGCTCAGTGATAAATCCTAAATCTGCTATACACTAGGCATCAAGAGATCTTTTTTCCAGGGAGGGAGGGAAGGAATGAATGAAGGAGTAAATAACAAAGAACAGAGGGACATAATGCAGGTTCAAAAGAAAGGGGGAAATTATCTAAGTGGTCAGAGGCTTTATCAAATGGGCGACATTTGAGTTGATCTTGAAAAAATGGGCCAGACATCAAGGTGCTCCTGACAGAGGTTAAGAGCCAGAGAAGAGACAGAGACACGGGTCCAGGAACTTCCCTCCCCATCCCCCACCCCGCTCTGTGCCACTCACAGAAGCTATTGAGAAGGCACTGAGTAACAGCACCGCAAGGACTCAGTAAGTATTGACTGATAAAAATGTTGAAAACTGAATCCAAAAGACCATATGGTCTTCGTGGGAGTTCAAAATATTTGTAGCCAACTTGACACTTTTTAGCCAAACTCAGAAGGAGGAGGAAGAAAAGAGATGCCCAAGTGGCCAGATGGGCCAAATCGGCCCCTCCCAAGCGCCGGGCGTAAAGCCAATGCACCAGATCCCCTTCATATGCCAGAGCAGGGGGGTATGGAGATGAGGAGATGGGGGAGGGGGTGTGCACCCAAAGCCCTAGGGAGCCTGTAACACGCACACCCTTAGGGCACCTCCCTCATGGACTGCAGCAGCCTGGGCCTAACAAGGGCCCTTCTGTGGCTGTAATTCACACACACTCCATTGTGTTTGAAACCTGACTGATCACACCCAGATCAAAGAGGATGCTCACACTTGTCTCATATAGATCGCTTATCTAAAATCCTCATCTGGGAGCAAACCTCACAAATAGGGAACGTTTACACAAGATGTAATTAGCTAAACTTTGTAAAGTCAGCCATTAGAACATGAACTCTGCAGGCAGTTCTTTCTTTCTTTTTTTTTTTTCAAGTGTATTTATTTATTTTGAGAGAGAGGGAGAGCAGGGGAGGGGGGCAGAGAGAGAGGGGGAGAGAGAGAATTCCAAGCAGGCTCGGCACTGTCAGCACAGAGCCCGACATGGGGCTTGAACTCACAAACTGTGACTTCATGACCTGAGCCAACACCAAAAGTCAGACGCTTAACCGACTGAGCCACCCAGGTGCCCCCGTCATTTTTTTTTAATACAATTCACCGACCTTCACAATTGCCACATCATTAATGAGGAGGCAGACGATACGTGGGATGGGATTCCAGGCAGCAGAGAAGGCCTCATCAAGGGAAAAAAAAAATCCAAACAGCACCTGACATGTTCTTTCAGCCTGACAAAAGCAATTTAGTTCCTCAAGTCAAAATTCCTTGCCAGATTTCTAATGGAAAACAAAAAGGGAAAAGGACACATTCACCACTCAAAAAGATCAATCTTTACAGGGATGGTTCTGGCCTCGGCTTTGGTGATTAAGCCGCATAAGAGGTCTGCAGAGACAGATGAGCAAACTGTCTTGCTGCCCCAGGGCCACTCCCAACCAGCCTTTAATAAAACAAATTTGTCAGCTGGTGTGACTTCCGGAGGCCAAGGCTGCATAACAATATAAGAATGTAAGAGCAGGGAGCACGGTGAGGCACACTTGTAAATGTCAGCCCTGCCTACTGCTAATCACTGAGGTTTTAAAGGTACTGCCTGCACTGAACCTGTCACTTTTTTTTTTAATTTTTTAATGTTTTTTAAAATTTATTTGTGAGACAGAGAGAGCGAGAGCGAGAGCAAGCGAGCGTGAGCAGGGGAGGGTCAGAGAGAGAGGGAGACACAAAATCTGAAACCTTGCTCCAGGCTCTGAGCTAGCTATCAGCACAGAGCCCGACGTGGGGCTGAACCCACGAACCGTGAGATCATGACCTGAGCTGAAGTCGGACGCTCTACCGACTGGGCCACCCAGGCGCCCCTTTCAGGTGGCTCCGGGGGACACGTGCCAGGTTGGAGGATAGAAGAGATGAGCCTTGCTTGACAAAGCCCTGGAGATGGTGACACAAAACAATTCTTCTGCAGAGCAAGCCCTTTATTATTTTCTGTGATTGTGTCAAAACCGAAAAAGCAAAATCAGCTCACACTGGGGCCTACCCCTTGCACATTCCAACGCACACTCTTCCTGGATATCACCCAGTGAAAGGGGAAGAGATACACTCACACAATAGACGTTTCAATTAATGAAATGCAACCATTGTGCTTTCCTACTGTACTCAGATGGCGAACACAGCCCTGGCACCACCAGTGAAAAGCACTCTGCAAGGAGCTGATGACTCAGCCAGACTTGCCAGGGAGGGGGGAGGGGGAAATAAAAAGCAGGGAAAATGGGATGCTTTGGAGGAATATTTTTAGTTTTAGAAAATATGCAACTCTAAAGCAGCATGGCTCATGATTACTGAGGTTTTAGGGGTTTGTTTGTGTCTTCATTAACCCAGTGGTTTGCCGGCTACTGGTTTTTGAAAACGTGCCCTTATGGTTCCTAGGACTCTAAATAAAGACAAAAAAGAAGATGTCAGCCACATTTTAGAAGATGGACCTTATACTTCCCTGAGGAGGTAAGATCTTTGAGAATGGGCAAATGCAAAGGCCTGGGGTGGGAAACAGGCTTGGGAGAGGGGACCCGGTGGAAGGAAGTTCCCTGCTAAGCCACACTCCCATGAGGTGAGGGGGACACGCCTGGCTCTACCCAAGGCTAGAGGCTCTTGGTCCTGGGACCAAAGAGTGGATAGGATGACTGGCACCCAGTCTGCCCAGTGGCCACACGGAGCTTTGTTCAGCGCTCTTTGATTCCAGAATAACTTGTGCTTTCCCACTGTAAGAGGGAACCTTCGGAAATGAAATTTAGACACTCTCCCCCGCAAAGCACACACACATCCCATAAACCACAAATAGAGCTGCCATCTGGGCAATGTTGCTAACAATGTTACCGGCTATCATTAACGGGCAATTTTCTATTCTTCTTGCAAGTATTTTCATTGGGGAAGAAAAAAGGAAGCGAGCTACCAAAAGGCTGCTCCAAACTGTGGAAGTTGTATAATCTCACTAG